TATTTATTAACAAATTAAAAGGGTCAGTTAATTCTGGTACACCCTGTATATTTTCAATATAGTATACAATATTTAATGTGAATTTTGATGTTTTTCTCGTGTAATGATTATCTTATATTAATACGCATACAAGTGATTTTTGTTTTAACTTTTTCATCAACTTATCTGCATGTCCGCAGTCACTGCACTGCTGCACGTATTAACCCAACAACGTTGTTTGAGTGGGGGCTTTTAGTTCCGTGTCTATAACTATCTAACTTGTCATGTTCGGGGAAACATGGAAATGGACATGTAGGTACTCGTCAAGGGAAACTATGTTATCTGCGTTCCGCAATGATACAGCTTGTGAAAACGTACATTTTTAAAGTTTGCGGGAAAAATATTTCTCAATAATTTCTAATGTTTATTCAGCGATTTTACCGTATTACAATTGTATGGGAAATCCGATTATATGGTATGGTTCGTCAGCTATGTTTGACGTTGAGTTCCTACTTTGTGTGCTCGTTTAGTTAACGCTTAACAAAGCGGTCTTTGTGCTTCAAGGTTAGTGAATGTGTAGATTATCAATTGAGATTAACTAAACTGTTGTTCATTTTACCAAAGCTAATGTTCTACTAGCATTTTCTCCGGTATTCATAAAATGAACGTTCTCTAGAATTAAGTAAATACCAACCGATTTATACCGGGTTAAAATACATTCATGTTGGTGATTCTGCGTGAGAGTTTCAGCTATATTGGGCGCGTTGCTCTAGGGGACCTCTTGAGCTCGGTGAAGCTTCAAACCTCTTCTCGGTGTTGCTTCAAACCCGCCTGCCAGCTCCCGTCTTCTCGTCCATTCATTTACGTTGCGAAATTCCTGATACTTTAGCCGTCTAGGCATTTCTTTGTGTGATAATAAAATATCATGTCGTGAAAGCTAACTTAATGCAATTGTGACCTTGTCTGCTCTGCCAAAACTTGTTTACAATAAAATTTATGATTATTATGCTAATCTCTTGAAATTATCTCCATCTTCTTCCTTTAACGGTTCACTATTCTCGATTTTCCTACATTTCATGCGTTCACAGAATACTTTCCAAACGAATTTATAGAACCCATAATGAATGTATCGCTTGCCCGCTTGATATTTAACCTGCATGCTTCTGGTAAGGCGTTAGCACAGAGTCTATTTTTATAAAATTTATTCCTCGTGCCTTCATATTCTCTTGAAATTGCCAGCTACATTTTTCTGTTACCTCGATTATTACCGGTGTTCCCCAAAAGTTTCCCCTTGCCACGTTTAGCTTATAGCATGTCTAACGTTAGACCCAAAGCTTAGGTTCCTTTTAGGATGGTGTTATTTATGCATGGATCAGAAATTAGTTTAAGCCTTCAAGGGTAAGTATTCGTCAACATCCGGGCCAGGTCCTGTACACTCGTCGTGTCTGAGTGCTGCTTAGTAAAGCCCTCCTCATTTGGATAGAAGTCCTTGGAGGGCGGGGATGTTTTTCTTCTATTATTTTACTCATCGTCCTATCGTGTTATTTCTATTCTTGTGAAATTTTTTACCACTTCACTTACTCATGCCGATTTACAACGTGACGCACATGCCCATTTACATCTATCGCTTCCTACTGGCTGTTCTTAGTCAGCGGCAACTATATATACTCATCCCAACGGCAGGTGATCTCCCGCCTAAATAATTTAAACCTAACCCGTCCTTTGCTCTCCCTCCCATCTCGATCGGTCACGTTTCATCCGGGTTGGTGTGGCGCGGTGATTTTGCCGGTCACACCAGCTTCGTTTGAGGAATAGGCATACATTAGTTTGGAATGCTTTCAAGCTTGCAATTCTTCTTGGGACACATGTTGTGAGTCCTGAAAAAGTAGGGATATAGAAAGACTATTTGAATTTATTTTTTACATATTTCATCGAAGCGTAGTAGAGAGAAATAAACAAGTTGCGTGTGTTCCTTTCTTGAATATAAACTGCTCAAGTGGAGACTTTTTACCATGTTTTTATTACTTGCTAACTTATTGCAGAAATTCAAATGTAAATTCCAATCGTTCACGTGAACGTGATTTGATTCGTAGAAGAATGTTTATGTTAGGGTGAAATTAGAATGCAGTCGGATTTTCGTAAAGTTTAATCTTCCTATGTTCCACGTTTATTTTTTTTATATACATTGAACATCTTTCCCTCCTGTGCGTCCGCGTACACCCAGGTTGTCACGATATGTACGGTATATAGTATATACGAACGTGTACCGGTATGTTACCAAGTGTTTCCTGGCATGTGTTCCCATGGCACGCAAGACCTTAGGCCTACAAGAGTCGGCCAACCCCTTTTATGGGCATGCGGCTCTTCTATTTGTTGTTAATTAGCATATCAGTGGAATACATTCATCTACTGAACGGATTTTTCAATTTCTTGAATCATGCTGTAATTTCACGGTGTCTTTATCTTGTGATGGAATGAACTTTTTTTTCTTTCTCACCGCTTCTACAATTCGTACTAGAACCGTTATCAAATATTATTACTCACAAGAACATGTTTATTTTTTAAATTGACATAGTTACGTTTTTCCATATTTCAGGCTGTTTAGCTGTGATCTGTGGTAGGATATTATGCTTTTAAACGTCGAATTGTGTCAACTAAATCAGGTTCATAGAATAATTCGAATTTATGAAAGACTAGCTGCATGAATGTGCTCCATTATGGGCGCCACGATGGTTCAGCCGTGCACATCAGCTTGTGGAACAGGCGACGACCACAAGTTAGGAGATCGCCTCGGTTCTTGCGAGACACGTGGAGTGATGATCCACGAAGAAAGTTCTTCGCAACGCAATCCTAATCGACGAACGTTATCGAGCTCGGAACAACATTTGGAGTTTGAAAATGGTGGTTTTTCTGATGAAAGTCAGTCATACTGCTCCCCTGGAAATTACAGTACACGCACTGAAAATTCGTCCGAATTTGGTATTGAGACCAGACGTACTATTACTAGTAGTCGCAATGGGTTTCATTGTAGGAACGCTGATAATAATAATCACAATGCAACGGGTGGCTTTGATAGTTCAACAAAATTTGGAACTTACTCATATAACGATACTCATTGTTCAAACGGTTATCGCGGTGTCTTAGTTGATAAACTTTCTAACATTCAAGATGAGTGTGAATTGTCTTATCAAAGAATGTGCACTTCACCCGAGAGGGATAAGGTCTATTATAGATCGGGTAACGAAAATTCGCCATGTGGAAACTACTGTTCTAATCCTTGTACTCGTGAAACTATTTATCCCAACTTCAAGTCTTTGGACTCTAAAGCTAGTGAAAGCTCACCTCGGCATCTTTACCAAAAACATGAGGTAAGTAACAAATGACGGTCAGCCACCTTGATGCTTGAATGCAGTTCCGGCTCAGTTTTGAATGCTTGAACCCTATATTTTTTCATAGCTGTAATGGATGTGCGCCAGCGACGGTTATGGCTCTTGTCCGACAGAAGGATATGCAATGCTTTGTTATGCCGACGCCTTGCCAAATGTAGTGGAATGTCTGAGTTACTGCCTCCTGTTTACTGATGCAGTGCCCTACTGAGTTAAGAGCGATTACTGCTTGCAGTGCCCTACTGAGTAACCAGCGATTATTCGTTATCGTTGTATACATTGGCGTGGTGGGGCGCAGCAACAGGTAGGGTATATAGCAAGACATGCGGGGTCAGGGTCACTCCGGGTGTTCCCCTCTAGTCGCTCTTTGGTTGTGCAATGGTCCCACGCTCTGCCTGACTCGCCGGTCTTCCTATTAGTTCCTGTGATCGTGACTCCGGCCCGCAACTACGGGAGCGACGGTCTGGGTTAAACCATGCTCAACGAACACATTTTATGCCTTGAAATGAATGCATCTTCGATTTTTTTTTCAAGTTTTGCTGATTCATTGTTTAGAGTTATCGGAGGTCCATCTCAGCTGATCATTGTGTAAAATCCGAGTCTAATAGCGTATATTCCAATAGAAATTGAATATTTTGCGCTTCCCATATGTTCCGAATTCTTGAAGGTATCATGCGCGAAGCTTTTTCTCGAAATTGTGTGTTGGAGCAGCTATGCATTTTAACCTTCATTATCAGTCTTCTTTATTTCTCAAATAATGTTACCTAATACTTATTTGAAAACTTCAACTAAAATCTGAAGTTCGTCTGTTTATTTGTTTTGGCTAGATTTTGCTCTGAGTGTAGTGGAGTACGGCTTTATGTCGGTATATAATGACGAGTTAATTGCCTTCCTTCTGTACGTGGGTTAACTACAAAATAGTAGCAGGACACCGACCGTTCTTTCTTTAATTTCTGACATAACGGCAACAACGATTTATTTCGAAATCACCACTCTGGACACCGCTACGTGTAAACGGATTTATTTTGAATTGTTTGTTGGAGGAACGTTTAAATAATGTGTTTGAATTGGTTTATAAGGAATGTATCGAACTGATCTGCAGGTCTTTGATTCCATTAGATGATTAGAACAATTTTTTTTAGTTTGTTCAGCACTAGTGTTCAGCCGGAGCTCGGACGATTTGCTCATGGAATGTTACTTTTCACATTTTGGAAACGTTTTTAATTTTGGGTAATTGCTACTATCAATCCTTTGGTTCGTCTCATAAGTTAATGAATACTCAATTCAATTATGATTTTACAAGCTATTGAATTGTGATTTTTAATCAATAAAAGATCAAATCAAAAGCTATCAATGTTTTTAAGAGCTATCAATGCAATTTACTAAGAAGTTTCGAATTATTATCTTGGCTTTAGATGCGATAAAATGTTAGGGCTTACAGTATTTCAATGCACTCAACAAATATCTTCTCAGCTTTTAGTTCATCAGGACGCGTTGCCCAACCGTGGTCTGAACCTAACAGGATTGTTTTATTCGTTATATGTAGTATTTGTTGTATGTATTTGTTATATGCATTTGTTATATGTATTTGATATATATATGTTGTGAACCTGACATGACCTGACGCGTGTGCAGGGCAAGGTGGTCATCAGACCCATCGCCTACCGTCCCGCCGCCCCAAGTCCGGCCCAGCTGGCCCAGGGCCTCTCAGCTCCATCAGGGCCCATTGCGGGGGTGGGGGGACGACCACCTCAAGACCCCCGCTACAACTCCACTCCCGCCCTACCTCGCGGCACCGCCCCCCACTACGGCAGTAAGTTCCGTAAACAACGTCAGGCAATTTAGTTTGAATTTTCTGCTTCATTAATTCCCCTCCAGGAAAATGACGAAATAACTTTTATTACGGATTTATTTATTTAAATCAACTTTTTTTATACATCCGGGACCTGGTGGGTCGCTTTTGGAGACCAAGCCGTATTTGCCCGACGACTTATTTGTTTCTTCAAGTTTTTTTGACAGATTTTAGACAATTATCTGTTGGCCTTCATTTAAAATTGATTCATTTTACCTTCTAGTTTCTTCGATTCTAAAATATTTCAAGCTAAGAAAATTTGAATTACAAAAAAAAGTTTGCTATTTTGGGCAAAAAAGTTTCGGTTTGTGCGCTTATGACTGGTGCGTGAAAACATTGTTGAGTTTCTTGTGCACGATTGTTGGTCTCAACGTTCATAGAAGCAGAAATTTCTCGAGGAAATTTCAGTCGTTGGGACGCAGTTCAGTTGTTTCGAGAGTCGTGCCAGGAAGATCTGGCATTAGTGCGAGAACCTCACGTCTGTAGCTGGCTTAGCGGTACGCTTCTTTTTCCATCATCTCTTGTTCAATACGAGTTTCATAGTTTCAAAGGGTTACAGTAGTTATTTTTGCGAAATCCGTTCTTCTTGATCTACGAGAATATTATTAGCAGCTAAAGTCTTTTTCAAAGGTATCATGAAAAATATAGGTACATTTCAGAAATGAATAAGTTTTCATGTATTTACGATTTAAATTAGTTTAAGGCAATAGTACAGATTCAGGTGCTAAGTGTATGCTTTGGGAAAGTCAGATGTCCGAGGCAATGCCAGTTGTTCACAGAGAGTCATTGATGTGAAAATTACTTTTTTCTATTTATATCAATCATACGATTATGTTTGATTCATATTGCAGCTGTGAGTGTTACTAATTTTAAGTTAGTTATCTAAATATTCGATCTATATATCATATATTAACTATAAAAGTTATTCGCTTGATGTTGTCTAAGGATTACCGATAGCACATCCCGCCGCTATAACTAGAGGTACAATACTTGATACTCGCCGATGCAGGCTTTCTGGCGAGAAATTTTCAGTCGAGGACCCCGACCAAGAAAAGGCATTAGTAAGCAATTGTCACGGAGCACACGTCACAGAACGGGCGTCGTGGAGTAGAAGTCAATTAACTCGCGTCACGGAGAAGACGTTACAGAGCACACGTCGCAAACCGGGTGTCAGGAATCATCGAGCGCGGGAGGAATCATGGAGCATGCGACACGTAACATACGTCACAGAGCAGGCGTCATAAATAAGCAAGAAAACGGACGGAGGACTTTTTGAGAAAACCTTCTTACTATATTAAAGTAGCAACCTTGTCACTTAATGCAAATGATAATCAATTACGAGTTTGCCTTGAATGTACACAATTTTTAATAAATTTAAACATCTTTGTATTTCAATGCAAGCGCGTTCGCCGAAGTGTTTATGCTTGCCTGCGATCGTTTCATACAGTTTTTATCGTATAGCTGGAATTACTTTTCTTGTTATGACACTACTTTGCCGCAATAATTTTCACTTCAGGCATGGAAAGTAAATGAACGATTCGACCAATCGCTCTTCCTGAGTGCTAAATTAACGATGTAAGTAAATTAATTGTAAACTCGTCTTTCGTGTGATTAGTTAGCACAAACTTTTTATTTTTTACAGGCCTGAAAACTTTTTATTTCTCAGCGTCTCTTCAAATTTGACAGGCCTGGGTGACCTGAAGAGTCTGGGTTACTCGCTGGACCGACGTGGCCTGGGTACACCGCTGAACCATACAGCGCCCTCAGCTGGCGACCCTTCTTCCTTTTCGAACCCTCAGGGTGCAGGGACTGGCTACCTCAAGCATGCCAGCCTTACTCACCTCCATCACGTCGATCATCAACCTCATTCAGACATTTTTATCTTCCACCAGAACAGTTCAAAAAACAATGGCAACAGTTCGTCCATCTACTCCAACACCAACACTGGGAGTCTTAATCATTCTTGTGATAGCAGTAATTTAAATAATACCCATACAAACTGTGACAGTTTGGTTACCAGTCCGAGGTCGTTGGATAACAGTAATGGAGATACCAGCGAAAGTCCCTGCGATGCTTCTCCTGTGCGACCTCCTTCTCAGCACAAACCTCCATCTGGTTACAGCGCAAGTACACATGATTCACCTGACTCGCCTCCAGTTTGTTTACTTCCAAGCAAACAAACTCATAGTCACCAGATTGTTTATTCAAGTAACTCATGCCCCGCTGGTCAGGGTGAACCTACGTCGTTGCAGATCACCAACAGTCCTCATAACCGGACATCTCAGTCGAACATTCAAAGATATGATAACGCCAAAAATTATCTACCTACAACGCCGCCTAATCATTGTGACCCTACGAACAATATGACTCATTCAATGGTTTCTTCGTCCAATGTTCCGTCATCAGGCCACCACCAGCATCATTACCATCATCTCCATCACCACCACCACAGGATGGGAGGATCGGTCTCCAATTTAAGTCGTCTCAGCGCGGCTGGCATCGCTGGTTCTAATGTCGCCCTCGATAGGTCAGCTTCAGTGACCGGTGCTAATTTGGGCCTCACTAGATCTTCCGTGAACGGCTCGATGACTGAACTCGATGATCCCTCGCAACAAACGCCGTCGCCATCCGACTCAGGAGTCGCTGAACTTGAAGCCATTCTTAAAGAGAAAGATTCAGAGATCAGTTTACTCAAAGAGAGCATGGAGCAGAGTGAACAAATTATTTTTAAGGTTGGTTGTAATCATTCATATTGATATAATTTTAATGGTTACTCATTCCATGTCTATTTTGTATCATAATGGGGAATTGTATCTTAGCCCTAATTTTTTATTCCAATTATCAGTAAACCTGAACGCCTTTAAGACGTGAATGCATAGCACTCAATTCTCTTATTAGACATCATTAGAGCCAAGTAATAGGTCTCATCTGGATATTTTTATGTTAAAACTATATCTGTGATCAGGTATACGAGGAAAAAGAGAAGACGTGGGAACGTGAACTGAAGAAAATCCGCGACATGTATGAGGCTCGCCTCAAAGCATCCCAGCAAAAAATAACAAGTCTTGAACAATCACTGAATTCTCACGCCTATCAGGTAATTACAGTTGATTATTTTGTATATTAAATTATGTTATTGAGATTCAGTATATAGTAATGCCAATATAAACTCTATTATAACATCTTAAATGTATGATTTACTCAAAAGTATGCCCTGCTGAAGTACTAATTGTAACTTTGTTTTAAATTGCTAAACTCTTCATTAAAGATAGAACTAACTAAAAACTAACCTTCATCCAGCATAAATTGGTCGCTCAGCTCGGCAGACGTGAACTGGGAGCGTAGCTGCTCGTAGTTGTCATTTAGCTCTATTTTCTCGCCTTGTGTGTGAGCGATTACTAGGTACAATATCCATGTCATCACATTATTAATAATCCGTTAAAAGTTCGATGTCAGCATCAGAGGCATAGTGAAATTTTTCTTAGCCATCAATAACTGGGGTATTTTAAATGATTGTATAACATTTTTAGAGATATATTAGATATCGAGGACATTCATATTTTTCCCTTTTGGCTTCAAGTTTGTATCATATTTTTCTTGTAAGGGTTGTTCATTTCATTCAAATTTATTTCCTCAGGAAAGCGACTTATACAATGTAGTATGCATGCCGAGAGAATATGTAGAGTGAGATTCTTTCACAGACTGAAAGTATCTCTCCACATTAGTCATCGTGGAAACCTAGTGTCAAAACCAAATTTTAGTTGCACAAGAATGCGCTTTATGTTGCAATGAAATCTATGCCCGTATAAACTTAATTCAGATTAATTAGTGCCATATTAAGTAGTAGGTTATGACTTATTCTAAAGTATTGAAACCGTGACAGGTTCAGCAAGAGCGGCGTAAGGTGTCCGCTGAGGCGGCAGAGGCGCGCAGGGAGCGCGACGCAGGAAGGGGACAGCAGCAGCAGCTTCAGCAAACCATCGGCTCCCTACGGTCCCAACTCGAGGAGACGGAGTGGGGGCTCTGTCAGAAGTCGGGTGAGTGAGGGCTGTGTCAGAAGTCGGGTGAGTGGGGGCTCTGCCAGAAGTCGGGTGAGTGGGGGCTCTGCCAGAAGTCGGGTGAGTGGGGGCTCTGCCAGAAGTCGGGTGAGTGGGGGCTCTGTCAGAAGTCGGGTGAGTGGGGGCTCTGTCAGAAGTCGGGTGAGTGGGGGCTCTGTCAAAAGTCCAGTTAGTTGTCATTCTCTCAGGAGAGTAGGCAGGAAAGAGTCTTTCATCTTATCCTGTGTCTGGTTACTGGAAGCTTTCGATAATTTTGATTCAGTGTCAATAAAAAAGTTAATTAATTTCGATTACAATAGCCGAAATAAATTTTCGCCCCCTCGCTCAATGAGTGATTGTATGAAAAGGCTGCACTTGGATATCTTCCAAACTTCGCATGCCATTGACAGATTTTATTGTTAAGCCTTATTCAAAATAATAAGGTGCTTGATGATGCAATATCTCTGAATTAGGCTTGCGTGTTGATAATTACCAGTATATATCGTTCAGAAACTGCGAAAATTTATAGTGTTAATGTGTTTCTAATTGTATTCTATGTTTCACAGGTGAGATCTCATTGCTGAAGAGTCAATTAAAAGATGTTCAAGGCGACCAAACAAGTCGAGGTCACGAACTCCTGCACCTGCGAGCTCAGCTGCGTCAGTACGCTCAGGAGGTCGAGCGTCGCCGCGCTGAGATCGCCTCACTGCACGAGCTCACCGCAACGCTGCGCAAAGAAGCCGCTGAGCTGAGAGCTGCACAGCTGACATCCTCTGGGGGCGTAGCTGCTCCTGCTGATGGCGATGCTGATCAGCTTAGGAAGGTAAGAGTGAGAAATTTCATGTCTAGATTATAGGTATTAGTTTATTTCCAGCTATGGTCTGATTGCGACTGATTGTTTATTGACTTCAATTAGAACTTACCGAAACATGTAAATCTTGAGACAACGAAATTGCGGTGAAAATTTTTATGTAACAACCCCCTAAATTATAACATATGACATTAGAAGTTTTTAGAATATTTCATATCATTTTTGTAAGCCTCACATAAAGTTACGTGACTACAGGTAACACAAGAGCTCATGCTGCTGCGTGAAGAACGCGTGCGTGAGCGTGAACGCATCACAGAAGAGCGCAGCCGCTGGCAGCAGGAGAAGGAGAGCGTGCTGCGCTACCAGCGTCAGCTACAGCTTGCCTGTCAGCACGCTCAGCGCACCAACCGTAGACTGCAGCACGAGATGGCTCGTTTACATGGAGTGAGTCGTAGCTTTGCATAATTGTTACGTACTAATTAATAAATGATTCGAAGTCATCGATTGCTCATTAACTGTCACCCCGTTTCCCCGCCAGCCTCTCTTTCGTTTTTCTTAACGTATACACCTTATGTTGTCAATGTTTTATAATAACAATGTCTCGTAATTAACCCTCATTACGTGTTCTGTAGAAATTTTTTCTAAATTCGAACTTCCTCAATTTACACAGCTAAGAAAAATGATTTAATTCGGAAACATGAGGCAGCACTGTGTTCTACCAAAACCTGTGATTTCGAGTTACCTCGAAACATGAAGCTCACGGCTTGATGTGTTATATTATATGATAGAAACCGATGAATGAATAATCATGCTGATGATAAATTTTCTTCAGTTTCAGTAAAATTACAAAATTTATTACTGAGGTGCTGAGTTTTTAGGCAATTCGAGCAATTAATTGTTTATACGTTATGGAACCAGATTTCGTTTAATAATTTGCATTAATTAATTTAATAAATTTTCCCTGCAGTGTATTGGCTTTTTAATGAGTTAACGTCTTTTTCATAGCAGGAAACCCAGCCCACGTCCCCCACTACTCCCCCTCCAGCTGTGCCGCCTCTGCCCCCGGGGTACAACCTTCCACCATCACCCCTCCCTCCCCCACCCGGAGTGCTCTCTGAAGAAGCCCTATGTTAGTGAGCGACAACTGACAAGCCCTTTCGTGAACCATAGCAAACTGAAAAGCCGTTTGATGATCCATAGGAAACTGACAAGCCCTTGGGTGAACCATAGTAAACTGACAAACACTTTGGTGATCCATAGGAAACTTGACAAGCCCTTTGATGATCTATATGAAACTGATGAGCCCTTTGGTGATCCATAGGAAACTGACAAACACTTGGGTGATCCATAGAAAACTGACAAACCCTTTTGGTTGATTCATAAGAAACTTGACAAGCCCTTTGGTGATCAATATGAAATGATAGGCCATTTGGTGGTCCATAGAAAACTTACTTGTTCAAATGCTCTCTGACACTGAAACAGGATGGTACGTTCGGAGCCCAATGCTAATTGATAGAATTTTTATACGCCCGTTAATATTCAGTCCTCGTGAATACATTGGGTGAAGGACGACTCTTCAGAAACCATTGTTGGTCTCTTTGTTGGTCCGTTGTCGTGAAGCGACGCCTGTGACATTTGTTTGAAAGCTATATCTTTGATGTCCTTTCTTTGAGGGTAGTGTTGTGTATACTGTACCTCTCGTCTAGAGCAACTCATTCAGTTTTTAGTTGAAACTTTTATTTGTGAATTGTCGCGGAAAGCTTCATTCTCTAGAACGCAAATTTCGCAATATTCTGCAACGAATACAAAGTAAATCTTTACCTTGTTATCGAATTTTCTTGATTCCAGTCTAGAATATTGTTCAATTGTATAACTACGAGGAATTGTGTTCATGCCTTTCAAGGATTAATTGTTAGCTGCTCATCAGAGGTCTGTTTTAATTGGGTATTTGCTGATAAGCTGGAACGTTTTACACTCGCTCTGTCATGTTGGCAAATCTAACGGTGCTATCTGAGTAGGCTTTAAAGCAGCATGAAATTTATGAATGTAATTATTGTCCCAGAAGTATATAAGGGGTGTTTAGAACTTGTATACTTTTTAATAAAATAAGCATCAATTCGTTTTTTTTTTATTTAAAATTATGAATTTTTTTATCATTCAACGTTCAGACCTGATGTCCTATCTTAGTTTTACTTTTGTAAGCGATGCTAAACTATTCCGAGGACTGCTTATAAAAAGTTACTTCCTGCTGTGCTATTAATACTATATTACGGGTTTGAAAGCGAATGTTCTTCTTGTTCCTTTCCGGCTTTTGTTTTAGTACCTAATTTTTTAGATCTGCAGTGACCATCTTTCAGGAGGAGTTCTGACGCGTGTCTGTGCTCCTCAGAAGTCCTATGGAATTTCACGCTCTTAGGGGGATTGTTCTTGAGCTCCCCACCGCTGAGCTCGTGGTGTCAGACTGCGGGCTTCAGTTGTGGGGTACAGTTGTTATGTAGGTAGGATTCCTTACATTTCCCTTCTCTGTCTCTCTCGTGCGGGCGGCTGACGCCCCGTGTAAGCGACCTCTTTTTCGAGTGTCTTGTTTTCTGTTGATTTTCACCTGTCCCTCCTTGTCACTTCGTCTCTTAGAGATGCTAACGCTACTTCTTTCTCGCCACCTCCAGCTGGCTGGACAATAGAGACCTTCCGCCCCTTGTGGGTGATGAAAAATGTTTTGATTTAAGAAAATTTCAATAAATGAGACCTTCCACCTTGTTGGTGATCTTCATCTATACTTTCGGCGCGAGATAGCTAAATAGTGGAAGCACTCGGAGTGTTTCTCTGGTGTCTCTATTATGATGGCGTGCTAAAGGTCGTTGATTACAATGTACATAAATAAACATTACTCTGATTTCAGTAGTGTCTGTAAACACACTGTAATCATACAGTACATATGTAATATACATAATCGTCGTTAAGCACCATGTGTATAACTAAACGTTACTCTGATGTCAGTATGTCTGTGAACTCACTTTCACTTCGACTTGGTATTTTTCGATTTTTTTTTCATTGATTGGCTGCGAATTTATTTACTGTTTTCCAAAATAAGTATTATCATAATGGTAAATTCATACCGCACTCCTGAAAACGTAGCTTCATTCGTTGAGCTGCTGACCTTTTCAATGATGAGACTTCAAGAATGCCTTTCAACACGCATTGGTTTGGATTTGAAAGGCTATGTTGATGTATCTAAAATTACTTCGTCAATAAAGGTCGGGAATTATTAGAACTATATTTACTAGTTGCATATATGTGTACATTGTTCTCTTTCAAGTATTTCGGTCGATCTCTCCTACGATCTAGTTCTCTTGGCTACGTTTGTATTACAGTTTCCTTCTTATTAAAGTAAGCTTGCATCATAGTACGCTCTACTATCTAGTGCTCCTAGTCTGGTTGTATTTGTTTGTCAGGTAAAAAAGTTATCTATGACATACATTGTCCGTTGCTTATTGTTTTGAGTGGCGTATTTTGCTTATGTGTTAAGTACATGAATCTGTTGCATTGTGAACTTTTATTATCCTTTTCAAATACGTGTAACTTGATTATTCGATGCGCAATTTGACTCATTATGCTCTCTAAATTGCTGCTTATAACATAGAACAAGGTTAATATTATGGTCAAAAATATTCTATATTTATTTCGCTCTGTCAGGAAACTTCCACCAGATGGAATTAAAAATTTAAGAAAATGCCAGATTTGATAGAAAGTTGTTGATCTAAAGCAGTCCCTAGTCACTCGACTTAATTGCACTGTATATATAGGAGCCATATGGGCAGGGTGGCCCAGTGGTTAAGGTTCAGAGTACCAAGGTTGGAGCAGAGAGGCGCGGGTTCGATCCCAGCTCTGTGCTCCAGTTTCTGGTCAGAATCGGCAAGGAGGCCGGGCGGTTAAGCACAGCAGAATTGGAGCAGTGAGTTGCGAGTTCGAGACCGCAAAATGCCGTGAATGTTCTGCGATGTTAAGAATCGGCGACAGGCCTACGGCCTAATAACGCTGAAACCGCTATTATTATTATATTGAGAGATTACGCTATCATGCCCCCCAGACGTACAACTATTGCACAAACAGCTCTCCAAAATTTCAGGAAGTCGTCCTGTTAGCGAAACTGAATAGTGTTGTCATTATTCTGCAACCACAGGGTCGTACAGGAGGATTCCTTCCAGTGTTGTGTTTCGCGCCAAGCAGCCAGAATTAAGAAACGAGCGGTGGTTATTAGTATTACATTGGCGGTGGTTATTTTCTGGTCCACCTAGTCAGTTGCCAAAACTGGCTGCAATGAGTATACCGTGTGTCTGGTTCCAACAGGATGAATCTACGGCCCACACAGCACGCTGTTCAATGGATCTTCTGAGACAACATTTTGCAGAGCGCCTCATCTATTTGAGAGGTGACCTATGGCTGGCCCGATCCCCCGATTTGTCTCCGGGTGATATTTCTATGGGATTATCTTAAATTAATAGTTTACAGTGACTTCCCAAGCAGCTTGCATCATTTAAATAACAACATAAGCCAAGCCATTTCCAACATTCCCTTGAATATTCTTCAGCGACTTACTGAATGCATTGACAATGGGGGCCGTCATTTGTCCGATGTCATCTTCAAAACTAAGTAATACAGAAATACAGGTTATGTCTTTTTTAATAAAATTATATTGTAATGATATCTTTACTAATTCTCTTTTTTATTGAGCTTTAAAATCACGAAGTTTCCGTGAAACACCCTGTTGAAAATTAAAGAGAAGATGCTCGCAGAAAGGATAAATAGATGAGGCACTGTCTTATTGACAGAAGTTTATTCCCAAATAATTACTAAATGAATAAAGTACTTTTTAATAGGATTGAGCGTCTGGGGGCGGCCTAAAGGAAAGTATTTGTAATCAGTAATTCAGTGGGGGGAAACAATTTTTACAGGAGATGATTGCCTTCTTTGAGAGTAAGTTTGCGACGCTCAGTGAACGAAGATTTTACCAAATTCATCAAAAGCGTTTCATAACATCTTTCTCAACGTATGATGATATCTCTTTTACTTTTTAAGTTAAACAATAACGTCCTAGTTGAGTTAGCTCATCAAAAATTTATTAATCTGGAAGCAGTCCGCGACTGGTATCTTGTACGAGAAAGCTTAGCACGCTCGAGGCTATAAGTCATTGAGTCGGTGTCGAATAGGTTGCTCCGAAAGTCGTCGGTTAGACTCTTCCGCGCCGCTGCACTGGAAGCATCAGGTCGTGCTGAGAGCGGATGGACGAAACGATAAACATCCTCTGGAAGACTATCTGTGGACAGTGATGAGTGTTGTGGTGCAACCGACGGCATAGTTGTTTATCTAGTGCGCGGCAATTACTCGAAAGTGTGTTAGGTCTTCCCCTTTTCGTCACGTCGGAAGTGAATTACGAGCATATCACCGTCTGTTAGTTGGAGCACATAAATTAATTGGGATGATTTATTTTGGATGTACATTTAATATAAAAAACACATGAATGTCTTGAGATGATAGCTTATCTTTTCGGTTTTTAATTGGAGAAGTTATTCGGTCGGTTAATTTGGATTATTTTCCCAACCAAATCATAATATACGAGTACGATTTAACTTACCGGTAATTAAATCCTACCGCTCATTATGAAACAATTAAAATGCGAATACCCGACCTTAAAGAATGAGTTATTACTGTGTTCAAAGTTTGTTACAACTTTGTTATTTTCTTACTTACTCGGAATGATTATTTCGTCATGAATATCTCGGCGCTAAATTGTTATCGTATACGCAATTCGTCAAATAATAAACGTACCTATATTAAACATAGAGATAGTGAACCTTTTGCCTCGGGTTTTATGGATGCTTCATTACCACGTATGAAAATAGTTTTGACAATCAATGTTGAAGGGGCTGTCTTGCCCAATACTTCGCACTTGTATTTTTCTCCCAAGGGTGGAATAATTATTATTTGGCGTTCTTGACTTGTAGGCTTATGTATAACTTAGATCATATGCAATTATATTGCCAGATCCCTCATGTTTCTTACTATTAATGACATCATTAGAACTTTAGAGATAACTTGCGCGTTAAATTAATTTGTATGCTCCAAGAAACTCCAGTAAAAAGTCAAGTTAGTGATATTCAGCTTTGTTTACATTCAAATCCTTACCGAATGAATTAGGTCAAATTGGTCAATTACCGTACGTACACTCTGTAGTTACATTTATTCCGGCTGAAAAAGTTTCAAATTTTCGTTTTTAATGACTGGGTTGATTGGCAGGATTTAACGTTTTCTTGTGGTCCCAAAAGGAGGTCATTGCTCCGTTCCGAAACTGGCTGGGCCAGTAAGTATTGGGTCAATTGATGTGATTAAAAAAAATACCACGAGGATCTGATTGTCGTGGAGACGTGGACAGTTAGTCACATAGGTTCGTTGTGCTTTTATCGGCCTCATTCGGTTTTTTGATGATGTATCGTTTTTTTAATTTACTTGGGTTTTCTCAATCCTTTATCAGTCATTCCGTTAAATTGATCCTATGTATGCTACTAATTCGAAAAGGAAAAAAGGTGTAATTATACGTAGACAAGGGCCAGATTACCCAGTTGATGGTACGTAATCTAAACCTTGAAAATTTTATTTTTCAACTACGCAAGAAATATATTTCTATCTGTAGAATGCATTTTGAGATAATTTTTGTTTCGTTCATTAGGCAGATAGATTGAGTTCACTGGAGCCTATAGGATGCTTATTATGCAACGACCTATGAAAGTTGCTTTCTTTGTCTCTTCGTACTCCCGAAAAAAGTAGGTCAACTCTACGCAGTTTTCTCTTTGCACTCTCATTGTGGCGCGTTATGTGGACAACGTTTTTCTTCCAGCCCGGGAAGGAAGTTATGATATTTTCCACGTGGAAAACGTCCGGGTAGATGGAACAAGCTTCCTATACCATTAAATTAAAGAATACTAAGCAGTAGGAAATCTATATGATTTATAATTGAGTTGGTTCATGAAAAATAGTTTGAATGTAAATAATTTTAAAGTTCAATCAAGTATATCTATATAGTGACATTAGTATTTCACGTTGATATGATTTATGAATGTAAAATTCATCCAGTCCGCTACGTTTTCGCTCGATTCTTTGCATCCCATTGCATGTTACTGTTGAAATGGCTATTTAGTTTATTTACAGGTTGTATAAAGTCAATTCAGAAGCCATTAGAATTAAATGTTACGGCACCTCGTACACAAGAGCAAATAATTTAGGTCATATTGGGTCAAATTAACTTCGCTTTTTACCTCAATTACTCGATGAAAATGTAAATTAATAGCTGTTCAACTTTTTTAGAAGCTGGGTTAGAAAGAATTCCTGTCGTACACTGTATTCTTTTTTGTTTTCTTGTTTTACGTAATTCTAAATATATGAACTTAAGTCTCTATATTTCAATAGGGTCTAAATAATTTATTTTCAGCGTGCCTTGATTAAAGTATCAGTGGCTGGTGATGACTCAACCTGTAGATGTTTTTCTATGATATTGCTGAAATTGAAAATAGAAGATGAACTAAACAATGTACGGTACTTACGACTGTTTGAACAAAGAATCAGAAAATTTATTTTTAATATCATACTACTGAAATATCATTCAGAGTGGATTTGGATGAACTTACCGTATAATTGTTGAAATACTATTCATAACAATCAGACAAGAAAAGTTACAATGGTTAGACAGCCTTCCTCTTCTTCGTACAAAGGAGGCGGTCGGTCATCGCGTGACCATCGCTCTTCGTACAGCGATGATTACCGCGTCACTCCAGAGCTATCAAAGCCCGACACAACCTGTTGCTCTGGATCTTGCTGTCCATCTCCAATCCGTGAAGACGAAGCAAGATCGTCTTCTTCCCGATACAAAGATTCATCTCCTACGCGACGTCGGTATTCGTCATCGTCGGGATCCAAGTATTTATCTCACTCCCCTAGTCGCAAGCATCTCTCGACGTCACAGCAGTATTCCCCTCAAAGTTACTCCTCTCCCGTACGTCAATCCTATTCCCCATCGAGGAGATCGTATTCCCCGTACAGATCTTGCCGACACTCTCCGTATGGCAGCCCTCAGCGCTCAGCCGGCAGTTGTTCGACCTGTTGCTCGACGTGCTATGACCGCAGCCAAAGCATTTCTTTGTCAGACGTTCCAAGCCGTTCGCCCGCTCGCGTTCGCCGTTCATGCTGCGGTGAGTATTTTATGAAATTGATTAAACAAATTGATTTTTAATCATAATATTAACGGAGCAAAGTAATTTTTCATTATACTTGCACTTAAATTTATCATTACAACATAAATTTAAAATTTATTTGCTGCCTCTTTCCCGAAGTAATTTCAGAACATTACAGCAGTATTTTTCACATTTAATCCATTTATTTAATCATTTTCGTAGCCAAAATACCTTAGTTTAGATGTTAGTTGGATTACCCACTTGTATTATTTTACTGTTTAAGTGTAATTAATGGGTTCATTACTTGCATAAATTACCGGGGAAGTCTTCCAACTTAATTTATTCGCGAACAAAGAGTATTTCAGAGCATTGTTGACGAACAGGTGCCATCCAAATTGAGTGAGTCCTCCCCAAGTGAAGACGACAACGCGCCACAGGGCGACAGGTTTTTAAAAGCATTGCCCCAGTTCTGACAGTGTGCCATGTGCTCGCGCGGAAAAAGCGTGGTCCGGCTATCGTTAAGTTTTTGCGGTCATTGGGAACCTGCAGAACGTCTCAAATATTCTTTTAAACTCAAGCATGTTTTAGGGAAACGTTATCAGCAGCTAGCGTCTGCCGTGTTAATGATCTTGTTTGCTTGATTTCAACGTCTAACAAGCAGAGTACCGCAACGACGGGGTCTTATTTTTCTCTTATTATTTTCTTATTTTTCTCTTATTCTATTTTTATATCTATTTTATCCTTATTATGTTTTCTTCGTTATTTTTTTTTCTCATCGAATGTTTATCATGCCTACGTATAATTTGGTATAAATGATCCCAGTCCGGAGCACTTCATTCTATTTAATTTTTATTTTTCCATGAGAAATTATTCGGGGCATTTTATAGTGTTAATCGTACTTCTTTGCCGCTAATTTGGCTTTATATTTTCTATTGTAATTTAAATGATACATTTGAAACTGTACAATACTACGCAGCCTATTTCATTACGTATTTAAATCATTTTATTAGTTACAGAAGTCACGGACTGACGTAATAGTAAATTAAAGGCTGAAAAGAGAGGAGATTGAACACACAAAATGAAAATAGAAAACTCGCACTATACATGTACTCATCAGGAAAAATATGCTAATTTTGTTTTGACTTGAAGTAGTAGAAAGCTGAAGCGCCACGCGGTCGAACTCTCCCTCTAGGGATAGGATTGTTTATGCCTTGATTACTTTTTACTCCGTTTTGTCTCTTCAGTTTCTTGAGTCCATACCGCAGGTTCATAGGTGTCACTCAATGGTGTCAGGCGGCTCCATTGAGCTTCAACTGACTAATAATATTATTCTTCCTGAGGACGGGTATTCGTAGAGTAAGTGCGTGAGTGAAAAGTAAGATACCTTTCTCTATAGAACTTATCGTGATACGGGGTGGTTATACATGAGAGATACCATACAGGTATAGGCTAAGACGTCGACCGTCAGGTCGGAGTTATAGCTCTAACGCAAGTTACATTGCGGCGTAATTGTCAGTTACATGGGGGCCTCACTAAGGTTCCCAGCCCTTTTATAAACTCACAGCTTCCGCCCACTACTGACGTCTTGATTGCGTGATGTGTCACGTAATGTTGTCCATGCTGAATCAGGCCTATATAGTACTTTTCCATTAATCTCTCCCACGTCTAGCGAATATCACGTTTCAATTACAGATGATCTAATCTTAGAATATAATTATAATGAATAGAATGAGATGCCTGATTGACACCGAACACTTATTGTTGTCTTGTGATTGCTGGTGTGCTTCAGAAATCATCAGAACAAACGACTAGGTTTCCATTCAACACTATAAAATGCACTATTTTCTTCGCGAATTTGAAAATCCCGTGTTATATAACATTCAACGTCGTCTCTCGGGTATAAAAACACTTTTCGACTTACCAGTAAGGCGGATTCTATTTTTATGCAAAGGAATATCTCGGGCTGAATTAGAGTATTACGAGATTCGTGTAAGATCTCCTCATCAATTGAGCTTAAGTCGCCATTTTGCCTGAAGAATCAGTGTGTGGTATTTTTCTGTGACATAATGCCTTATTTGAACTAGGAAACTGGCTCTGGGTTATGGGGTCAGTAAAGCGCACACTGAATAATGTGCCTCCGTATAGTAGTTTCTTCAATTTATCCTTGACTAACACTCGGCCATATGGCGACGGTGTTAGATGTCTGACATTGCACATTGAAAGCTTGATCTACTGTCCCGCTGTCTGGAAACATCTGTAAAATTTGTATTCTCGAAATTTTTTTTTTCAACGCAAGGTACTTGTTCGAAAAGTACTTGTATCTCCATGAAAATCACGTTTTTCTCATTTTCTATTGGTATGTGGAATTCGTTTTTATAGCAACGAATTTCACCAACTCTCCTCCCGAATATGAAGAACGACGCAATTTTTTTCTGTTTATGGTTTGGATTTAGACGCAACAATATCTGCATGCATGGTATCCCATGAAATTTTCGTTAACTTATAGCTCTTGCGTGGGTTCTGTACATACGGCTCTAAGTAGGTTCAAATCATCATTCTGACAAATCTCTGTCGTTTTTATGATGCACTAGTCTTCATGAAAAAAATACGTCAGGAAAAATTGTCACCAAAATTTAAATGTTATTTTATATAAAAAGGTATAATAAGAGGCATAAGATATGTTACTAATTTAGGCCACCGGTAATTTTTTCGTACGATAAATGGTCTAATATTAAACCACTGCCTTACTGGAATTTCATTTATAAGAACTTGAGACCTTCTACACTAAACATACTATTCAATATAAGTTTGGATGAATTTGTAAAACAAAAAATCCAGTTTTATTTCATTCATTGTTACATATATAGCAGCGGTCATTCCTTCTAATGAAACCTTTCTATTGTAAATGTTTTCTAATTTCACATCGCTAATGAGCACCATTACTCGAACTAAACTCCAAAAATTGCGACAACATTCTGATCCAGCACGTACGGTGCATTCTTCTCTATTTCATCCTCTGGCGTCTATAATATTTCATCAGGGATAGTAGCGTTTAAATCCCTTTGAAGATGGTCGACAACTCACGACCATACCTCACAAATCCCTCATCATCCTGCTATCATCTATTGTAAACCTACTCTACTTAGAGCGTTGTTACTACCAAGGAAGAATTTTCTTTTGACAATAGTATTATACGGAGGGTGATATCGTGCATACCTCGCCAGATGGCGGTCGGAATGTAGAGTTCTTGTTGGAATAAAAAGTGCCGCAATGAATTGCAGCATTATGTTGCTGCTATTAATTTTATTTCACCCAGTTCAAGTATCTTGACTGTACTCTTCTGTCAGCCCTGTTGATTGGGTATGATTGCAATTAGCTCTCATTTTTTGCGGGTGTTGCGTTACAAACCTGTCCCGCGATAGGTGAAATCCGCAATGGGAATTGATCGACTTATGGTACTTATTTAAGTACTTATATTGTAAATGTTTCAAATGTTTACAAAATTGCACACTCTTACTGCCTATTTAGTTTCACGGGCTGTTTAAATCAGCCGATCGACTTCCTCGGAAACTCGTCACTTGGCGAAGATCAGCGGATGATTATTCTCATTTATATGTCTTGTAATCCCGCAATAAAGTGAAGCCGCGGTGGGTGAAGCGCGAAATAGTGATGGATTAGTGTGTACGCAACCCTGGCTACTAATAGTAACTGTTCATTAATCATTGTTTTTCATTGTAATTGTCATTCTTTGAAGTGCAATACTCTTTGAGCTCTTGAAATACCGTGGGCGTTTTGTTAAAGTACACTCCATAACTATATAGTTTGCTAGCAACAAATTTTGTTCCGCCTGTAACTTTGTTCGTAAATCAATTGTCCGTTACGCAGTGACAAGCGATGCGCCACTGGAGACGGCATCGTTATATGTACGGCAATGACTGAGTTTCGTAATAGCCTACCGATGACTTCAAATTTGTGTGGCTGCCTCCATAAAAAGTGCCTCTAAGTCCTCTTGATGGATCACGACGGCAGCTGCGACGGTGATGTCAGCTGTGACCCAATATTGCAGAGTCATACGCATCTACGACTCTTGGCGTAGATTTGCATAGCGCAACCTCCTAATGGTCATTGAGTTCCATTCAGACTCGCGTCAATATTGACAATACACTTCAAAAACACAAGAAAACAACACGTGCGTTCAACTCGACTTCTTGGTGGTCAAATACCTCTTCCATCACATAAGAATTACAATATTTTTTGTTAATTTAACAGGCTGAATAATGATATTTTCTTCTTATTAATGCATTTAATTCAGTACTGCGTCGGTTATGTTGTCAATAGAACTCGATCTTTGAATAGTGATGAGTTCAGGAACCTTACGAGAGGCCCATCAATGTGCGCTGAATCTATAGCCTTTTTATTTGAGGAATTACGATGCCAAATTCAATCTTTGGTTCGAGAGAACCTGTTTGTTTTCGTTTGTACAGCATTAACCAAAGGAATTCCCAGCAAAATACTAAGGTAAAAATTGAAACTTTTTATTTATTTTATTTTCTCACTTGTTAACAATTAATTGTTACTCGATTAAAAGTTTGAACGAGATAATTCGTAAAAATAATTAATAACTAGGGAATTATGCTTATAATTAACATCTGTCAGTTTTTACAACACTTCTCTTTAACTTCACTTCTTGTTTGTCTGTCTGTGTCTGTCTGCTACAAATCTTATAATCGATATTTAACACACTTCTACCTGTCCAATCGATCTAAAATTTTGCACACTTGCGTAAAGTTGGAGACAATACATGAATCAACTGACAGAATAAATAATTTTATAAATTAAAAAAAATTGTTTTCATTATTAAAAAAAATAAAATAAAAATAATTTCGTCTGCTACAAATCTTATAATCCATATATGACAAATTTGACCTGTCCAATTGATCTGAAATTTTTGCACAATTGCATAAAGTCAGAGACAATGCATGAATCAATTGACAGAATAAATAATTTTGAAAATTTACAAAATTTTGATATCTTAAAAAAATTTTGATGAATAATTTTTTTTTTTCAAAATTTGAAAATAAAATTAGAAATTCGTTGTACATGTGTAACATCCAAGGCACTGGATTGTTCAGAAGTGTTGTCTTTAAAAAGTAATTTTTAAACACATATTTTATTATATCCAAGCTGCATCTTATCTGATGAAAGCGTAATCTGCCGTTTTATTCTAAGTTTCGTTGTAATTCTTCTCGTGTTTTAACCCTGTAAGGTTATCATACGTTTCTCACACCGCACCTGACGCTCTGGAGGTCGTTTATAGTGTGAAATATGTGTGTTGATGATCTACCTTCGCATTTGCTCTCGCCAAACAATCATATTTTTTATTCAACAGATCTTGCTCATCAGTATACACAGAAAATAATACTAGCAGCCCTGCGAGTGACAAGCCCCAGTCCTCTGATTGAGATTGACGTCGCTTACAATGAAATATAATACGTACAGCGTACTTCCAGAAGAAGTTTTTTAGCTACATTAAAGTAATTGTAAAGATTAAAGATGATACAGGCCTCGCATGTACGTGATCTATACCGCCGACTTTAATATGGTTAGGGTCATCCGATAATACATGGAAATGTATTAATTTTTACTTTCAACTGCTAGTCAATGAGCTTTGGCATGTATTATATTGCAATAAATAGATTGAATGAGAAGTGTGAGCATGAAGAATATTCGTTTACATTATCGGTGTAAATATTTCTTGAAACTACGAGTATATTATCTGAACGAGAGTCATTTTCATCTCAAATTTTCCTTAATTTAATTAAGGAAAATTTCAAATATCAATTATCAAATTTTTCCTCAATTTCCTTAATACCCACATATTTTTTCCTTCAAATTTACTCAATATAAGGGAAAACTGGTAGTCAACTCAGTGAAAGTGGTGTGTAATTGCTAAGTGCTAATTGACACATTAACTGCCGGTCACGCTGACTCAAATTGGTATCGATAGAATCTTAATGAGCTATCATATGTAGGTACGAAGCTTGTGATGCTCACCAGCTCTCTCTTTCATGAGACTTTCAGTGGAGTTTAATTCTCGTTAATTGCATGAGCCTGATTACGGTATGGAGGATACAACGCGTGGTATGCTTCAGCCTGCACGCAACCTCCTCTTAATTGCGTTTCATTTTAAATGGTGTCGCTTTACTTCCGCCTCTACCTGCAATACAATGTAGATATAAATTATGCCTCTTCTTCGAATACAATGAATACCTATATAATATTAATGTTCACCTGTAGAAGTAAATTTCTATTATTCTCAAGATTTAATTGGACTTTTTAACTATTCTATATCACTTGCATTGTATATTTTAATTACGAATAGATGTACTCAGTCTATCATTGTGTTAGGATCGGTTGAAGCGACGTAGCTCTCACAGCCATATAAGACTCCGAGTAACTTTTTTTTCTGAAGTAGCTTCAACGGTACCTTTCACTCTGGCTAGCTGTGTCATAGGCCAAGTAAAATATCTGAAATTCGCATACTCAAATAGACTGGCATACGTTTGCGTGCCCGTCTGCATAATAAATTTATCGAGCTGTCAAAACCTATCATTAATATGGCGACTTGAGAGTTCGATACGATCTAGGCCTTAAAACTGGAAAATAATTTTATCTGCACCATTGTAGAATGGTGAAAAATCTTCACGGCCGAGTCCCCGCCATAATTTTTTTTTTTACCATACCGAGACTAATATCTCGTGTAATAGCTGGTTACAGTTTCTCGTTTATTCTCGAATTATTCCCGGAAGACTAGTGAAAAAGTGTTCTTCAGACATTTTCAACCGAAATCCCTTGCCACGATAACCTTGACCTGAGTTTCTGCTTAGATCTCGAGATTTTTCTGCTGATGGATTTTAGAAGCAATAAATTTCTTCATATGTAATCGCTACTGTATACCTATTTTTTTTTTCAAAAAGAATGCGCAACAAGGCAAAAATCGTTGGCTCTTTTGATGAGAAACTTTAAATTTTTCGTTGTAAAATTTCTCTAGCGAAGATTTGCATTTGAAAAGTTCTGCAGGTACGTTTTTTCAACCAGCGATGACCTACATGGCGTCAGAGGTCGTTGGCTGCAGCCGTTAACTTCTTCACACTCGACCCGATAGCACTAAACACTAAATCAACTTTTTTATCAGCTATATTGTTAGAAGTTATCATGACGAGAGAGAAAGTTTCCGTAGCAACACACAATAATTTTATGAAACTTGATTTTTGAAATGTTGTTTATTTTTACACGTTTTCTTATCAGATTACAAGCGGCACGCGAGTTTAAATATTTCGGGTCTAGATAACAATTGAGCGTATGTTAAGTGATGCGTCATCCACGTTGAATAGGAACGTCCAGTTATTTCTTTTATGCTACAATAAAACCTCTATACTTTTTTACTGAGATTAAATCTCTACATGCTGCCAGGTTTGTTTTTGTGTGTTCGAACCTGTCTTTCTCTAAAACATGAACTGAGATCACTGATGAGTAAACATTTCTGCTTTTGACGCAAATGAAGAAAATCAAATTTTCATTGAACATTATATCGATGCAGCATGTTTTTATCGATACATCTTCTCTTAGATGTGATGTAGACCATGAAATGCGATTCAAATTGAGTTAAGACTTCAAGTTCTTAGGTCAATAAACATAACGTAAAATATTCATCTCAAGTACTCATAGAATTGCTGTTTCTCTCCCGCAATGAGGTTCATGAGCGCCATATGCTGGCTCAGGTGTTGGTGAGAGCTTTACTGTAGACTTGATACGATCTGAATGACTTGCGCAATTACATTCGCGTAGACATTTGCAGATTGTTTCTTCAAATCTCTAACCTTTTTGCGTAAGATTGGGCATTTGGGGTATTTTTTTATTCCATTATACTGATATATAATGATATCTTAAAATCAGATGTGGGCTAATTGACCAGTTGTCCCGGCATGCTGGCTTTCAGTTTATCCAAAGAAATTCAAATTTTTACGCGTGCTTTTTTGGAATTGATATGAGTTCACTGAATGAGTAATCCTAGAAATTGATACATGATTAAAACTACGAATTTTCTTGAAGTCGACCTCTTCGATAAATTATCCTTTGCGATTTCGGTTGATACATTTATTAGTAAATAAATATTTTATTATTTATATCCAAAGATATTTCCTATACTTCCATCCATCTACTGTTTATGTTTTGTTTGATGACCCACGAAACCGTTTTGTATGTACCTGCATATCTGATTAGTTTTTTATAACACCCGAATGATGCTTGATTCATTTATATAAAACCAACCTCTCCTTGATAAGCTTTCGATAAATAAAAGTTGTGTTTTTTCCAGCAATTCGAAATCGATTTCACTACTGTACATGCCATATTCCAAATCAAAATTAGCAATCCTAGTTCAGCTTTATTAGTTTTACACCATGATTTGACCTAATAACTGAAAAGCCAATGCAAATCGTCAGGTAGTAAAAACTGTCTATTTTTCGTATGCTTATTCACGGTTAGAAAATGTAATAAATTTTCAAACAATTCTCACCAAATGCCTGTAAAGTTACCTGTACTGATTGAGTTAGTTTTCTTTGATGTGTCTATGGCCGTAGGTTGAAGACGAGCCGTTGCTCCGTCTTGTACTCGGTCACGTCGTGGTCCGTTATTGTTGCTGGAGCTGCAATTGTTGTTGTTGGTCGCCGCGAGCCTCGGTCGACAGCGTGGCAAACAAGCCTCCCTTTATTCTCTTGCCGCCGCAACTCTCAGACGACGCCAACGTTAGCGATGAACTTTAGTGAGGTTGCTTGACGATTTCGAGCTTAGTTTTCATTTGCCACTGCAAATCTCTGCTTGATTGAACGTTTGTTTTTAGCATGAGTCTTGCTACGTGTCAGCTGTCCATACAATGCAATTAATGAATTTTATTTCTGACGTACCTCCCTATAAAGTGTTGCATATGGGACGATGTATTGACGATCCATCTGGTAAAAACGTTCGCATCAAGTTATGTAATCATAACTTCAATTATGTAATCCTAGCACATCTTATCAATGGATTTTGGGTATCTATTGAGATAAATTCCTTACTTACATCCACATTATTCTTCCCAGATGATCACAGCGGATCCCCCCAGCGCCGCGCTTCCCCGAAGCGGAGTCGACGCTACTCGGGCAACAGCAGCCGCTGCTCCCACAGCCCGTCCCCCGAGCGGCCGTCGCGGCGCCCCGCTAGACGACGCAATGGAACCTATGACTTCAGCGGGAACCTTTGTGAAGAACACGCTAAGATGGTGCGTGAGATTTTCATACGCACTGATTTCATAAGTATCGAAATGAGAAGGTACTATTGAATAATTGTTCACCTACTATCAAAATGTTGCTGGTAGTTATTTACTTGCAAAGTGAGCTCACAGTGTTATGCAATAATTATTGGCAGTAAAATATCTTTACATTGAAGAATCATATCCACACTGACGAAACAGGTAAGCTCATATGAGAGCTAAAATAAAATATATCTGATCTCATTCAAGATGACGCCTCTGATTTCTTTAGTGCATAATCGTTTAATTTGTTTGCTAAACTTTGATGTTAAACAACTAAATTCAAAAATTTTATAAGACTACGGTATCGAAACTAGAAATTATCTTTTTCGTCAGCAACCATAGTGATGATCATGATATTTATGTCCTAATAAGATAGATGTCTTTAAAACAATCTGCTTCCTTATCTCTCTCACAAAATTTAATGTTTTTTTGTGGTATGTCTGTCATCCTAAGAAAACGACCGAAGGATTAACCGGTTTTTTGGTCCGCGTTTTTTCCTCTTGAAAGTTTCTTGCATAGCATAGGCAGGCATACGTGATGCTCCCGTCATCAAAGATAGTTTCTCCGGACGCATTGAGAGCCACTTTTAAATAACGGCAAAAACTCAGGTTTCACCATTTACTCGAGAAAATGTACCCCGTTTCTAAAATAACGCAAAAACTGTCACTTTACATTATTTGTGTGCTCTATTGGGAGAAAACATGACGTCTATAAAGGTTTATGTGTCGGCTGAGAACAAAATATAGGCTGTCCACTTGTAGTTTGTCCCACCAGATTATTAGACCGGCTCCGCTTTATGACCGATATCAATGTGAGGAGAGAAATTATGACAACTATTATTCACGTTGGACCTGAAGTTCTGAATCTGTCTCCTGTATATCTCGGTCTTTACCGAAAAATAGTTTCCTGTTGGAAATGTATGATTATTGATGTCGTGTTCATACTGGAAACTTGGCGAGCATTATATAAACTTTTCGTAGGTATTTTGTCAGATACTTTTCGTACAGCGCAATATTATTAGTGGCAGATGTGTCCTTTTCACTTTAAATTTACTCGCTGGCATAGTAAGACTTCGTCTAACTGTCTATTTTCATTCATTTACTAATATCGCAAATTACCTAAGAATTTAATAACTGAGAAAATGCCAAGTAAATTCATCATATTTACACTGTGTAATCTAACGTTCTCAATGAAAATATGGCGAATTTACCTGACCTTTTTGCTTGCTATTATATTCTTCTAGAAGAAATTTTTCAATCGTCTATCATAATTATGGAGCAAAAAAGTTTGAAAATGTACTATTCACAGATGAAGTCTCATGCCCGGAGCGACGGAGTATCCCTTGTAAATTCACCAGCGAAGCCCGCGTCTCGTGCTCGGTCACGAGATTATTATGAAAACCGAGACATTCCATCGGTTGAGAAAACGTCGTCTCGTCGAGGCCGAACTCCGATCAGAGATGCTGGCGGGAAACGATCATCAGGAAGCCACAGTAGCGGCGACCGCGACTGTAGAGACTGCGCCCTGAAGTACGCAGACCATAAGCTGTACGAACCGAAATGTTGTGCTGAACCGAAAGCCGACAACAGCGCGGCGCCGCTCGTCAAACTTGGTGACAGATATTCTTCAGCTGCCAAGAGATCTAATCCCCTCGACCATATTTACTCGAATCATGACATATTGACCCATATGGTTTCGCAGACCAAAGCTCAAAAGAAACAAATAAGGTAAGTATCTTCCTGCTTTCGATCTCTTGAGCCTGGTAAATAATTGATGCAGATGTTTTTAAACTAGTCATCGTAATAATTATTTCCAATTATTATTGTATCTACCTACGTCTCTAAAGAATTCTATCTCATTGTGAAGAGCTTTTTGTTTATTTCATACCACACCAACCTCTCTCATAATATTAATAATTATCTAGTATCAAATTAAAAACAAGGAAATTAAATTTCCACTAAAATTATCAACATGATGCTCAGGAGTTTGGAGAATGAAGTAGAACGCCTTCGAGGCTGCGACGCCCTAGCGAAGTGTGAAGTACGTCAAAGAGACGTGGAGTGGCGGCCTGGTGACGTGCTGGGAGAAGGCTCCTTCTCAACCGTCTACCGCGGCACTTTCTGTGCCATCGACGTCGCCGTTAAAGAACTTAAACTGAAACTATCGCAGGTACGGCACGAGTGCTTCACGAATTTGTGAAGGTAGAGGCAGAAAAATTTATGAATTCCTTCACTTTTCCCATGAAAATTGTTAGCTGTAGTCATTCCAATTCAAATTTGATTTTTTTTCGCAGAATAAATATTGATGTAGACAACTTCTGCGCATGACGCGTTTTTATCGAAACATAATTAGTTAATATTTCAATCAAGTTTAGTGTGTAGTATAAATGTTTACAATTTTTTCAGGATGACAAAAACTACTTTCGGTCTGAGGCAGCATTGCTGCAGCAGCTGCACCACCCGCGCGTGGTGCTGCTGATGGGCGTATGCAGCACTGCTGCGCGTCCCTTCATGCTGCTCGAGTACATGAGCGGCGGTTCGCTGCACGCGTTGCTGCATGGTGACGGGTCAGATATATCTAATTTATAATTAAAATTTTTACAGATTATTCTCCGATGAACGCTCATTTTTTATCTGCATCCTGTAAATATGTGTGAAAAATCATGGTATCACTTGATAATTGATAATCTCTGAGAGGTGTCAAATCCAAACATTCTCGAACAACTAAATCGATCGATAAGCGACAGCACTCATTGGGGAAGAATCGTTATTTAGGAAAATTTATTATTTTATTACAATTTTAATGCAACCAAGTATTGAGTAATTAGAGTTCAAACAACAAAACGCTTTCGCCCATTTCATCCCGTATTAAAACTTTATAATAATTCACATGTCCTCCGACAGAAAGCCGGTGCCTCTCGACCACGCCACGTATTTCTGCATCGCACGCGATGTCGCTCAGGGCATGAACTATCTCCACAAACACGACCCTCAGGTGATTTATTTCTGACAAGCTCTGTGTGTGTGACTTGTGAAACGAAATTCTTACTCGACAAACGGTGGAGCTATGGGAGCTAAAATTCTGTTAACAACACTTACGGGAGGATCGGGCTCCAAAAGCCGGATCCCTTGTGGAATCAAGTCACGAGAAGTACAGGAATCGGCAAGAGACCATGGGCCTATTTCTTCAGTGCCGACATTTCTATTCTATTCCTGCTGATTCAATGTAATTTAGCACAATAAAATGACAATTAATATGAAAGTTTTCATATTTTCACGCCTAATAATACGCTGTTGTTTGAAGGAATGAAATGATGTTGAAAAATTTTTTTACAGGTCCTACATCTTGACCTGAAATCGATGAACGTTTTGCTGGATGCTTATTCACGAGCCAAAATCGCCGATTTTGGTTTCTCTATATTGCGTCGCTCGCGTTCACCTGCGCAAAAGGGTGCTATCAGGTACATTGTTTATAATATCAACATAATATATATTATATATAATATAATATAAGCTCAACCTTACTGCTATGTTGAAGTTACAAGTGAACGATTCAAATGTGGTAATTTTTTTAGCTCGATTGTTGTGTTACTTCCAATTACTATTTATCATTAGAAGTCATGATTCTACTTTAGAGCATTGCTCTGTATCTGCATATCTCACATTCTAATCTACTTATATATTTTTTCAAATGTTTCAGAGGAACACCAGCGTGGATGGCACCCGAGTTGCTGACGAAGGGTGAAGTGTCAGCGAAGTGTGACGTGTACAGCTACGCTATCATCCTGTGGGAGATGCTGACGTCAGAGCAACCGTTCCGGGGCTACGACGTACTCCAGGTCTGGACACTGAAACGAAATTACGGTGGTTGTAAGCTTACGACAATCCGGAATTCATACCTCAATCTTTCTATTGCATCGCTTGATCTGAGGGATGACCGGAAATCATAGGGATGTATCGATGTTTTTTTCCCGTTTCTGACCACGGCACACTGGATAAGTCGACTTTTCTGTCGACAAAATATTCGTCCTAAGTTTGAACTGGATGAATTGTTGGAATTTTGTATTCAAGATGTTTTGCTCAACTTTTTCAGTTGGTGGTTGTAAATACCGTTTCAAAAATGCGTGATTATGAAGTTAAAAGGTCCCAACATGGAATCGATTGTGAAGAAACGAAAAATACTCTAATGATTGCATCATCATTTTTAACATAGATTCAAATCATCTTTGCATAATTATATTTGTTAAACGGCCTTGAGAAGCGTAAATAGACTCAAAAATAGCAACTTTTTGGGGGATTATCATACAAAATCTCGAGATAATATCAAATAATGATTATTTCTTGCGTTATAAAGAAATTCTAGGTATTTTAAATGAAAATTATATCTTCCAGATTCTGGAGTCGGTGGAAGCTGGGCTGAGACCGCCGCTACCCAGCGCCAACGTGTCCAGAGAGCTGAGGGAGCTCATTACTTCATGCTGGGCTCAGAACTCGTCACTGAGACCCAGCTTTGCGGAGGTGTGTTGTTTTAAAAATATTTTTCCAACGTAGTCATGGTAATTTATGAGTAAAAATGTCAGATAATAATATTAATAGATGTATTGTGGTAACTCATTGAATCAGACATGAAATTATAGTTCTTTTAATGTAATATTCAGCGAAATAATTATGAAGAAAGTTTTGTTATAGCCGATGTTAGTTTTTAATTGTTTATTTACAGGTACTGGGTGCTCTGGAAGAAGCTGCTGTGCCTCCATCTTGGCGAGGTCTTTTCCAGCGAGCTCACCTACCTACCAGTCTTCCTCAGGACCCTCCTTTGGCCAGGTTAAGATAAGAAAAATAAATTAAAGATGACACTAAGTAGAAAAATTCTGATTTTCTCACTCATTTTACACAGAAATTACATTGAGGATTCATGCGTAATCTGATTGAACTTGAATGAAGTACTCTGAATGTGCAAGGAATATAATTTTACTTATTAATAAACGTACTCGACTTGATCAATTAGCGTTAATTTGATGGTTAGCTATGGTCAGTTACCCTTTCCTGAAAATAAATATGAATTCTTGCGTGTTTGTTTTTTATATTAAGTTTGTGACATGTTACGTCGTCTTGTCAGACGTAAATTCAATCATTTCTTCTAAAAGTCGACGATATTTTAAACACACTTATTAACCTGATATCGATACTTAGTTGGTTCCTTACGCAAAATTAAGAAATTGATGAACTTTCCTCTGCAGAACCGTGATAAACGCCGTGCAAGAAAGTGTCGAGACACTGCGAAGGAACAAGAAGAATGCAAAGGAGAAGACCTCTCGTAGCTCTGCAATTAGAGGTAATTTATGCTCATTTATGCCTGCTCATCATTAAATTCCAATCAAGTAGACTTCGTTTAGTCCTATATCTTATATGGTAGTATATTCTGGTTGTAACTACATATTTTTATAAACATGTTAATTCGATTCCTGTTTTGTCGACGTTGAATGACAACAAGAAGGAAGTCTTGCCGGGAAAAACCTTCGAATTGTCTGAAGCATATACGTTTGACCATGACTTCCTTATCAAACAAGTGACATGGATTTTTTTATTACAGCAAGTATAGGTAAAGCGTTTCCTTTATGATTATCCGCAGGTTTTATCGTTTGAACAATTTCAGTACTTCTACTTATTTATTCCAGAGGTGCCTCTTATGTCCGGGATGATGTCACTCAACGAGGAAAAAACTAGTCCTCCTAAAGCTCCGGCGCGTCGACGTAACTCGAGCGTAGATAAAAGAGGAGCATCGTCGAAATATGTTGAGCAAAAAGAGTCGATGTCAGCGAAAAATAACTCGAGAGAAAAAGCTAATTCTAGAGAGAAGAGTAATTCAGGAGAGAAAAGCAGTCCTCGTGAGAAGAACGAAGGTCGAGAACGAAGCAAAGCTCGTGGAAGAAGTCCTGATCGTAATGAGAAAAAAATTAAAGCAACTGGGGACGATCGGGAAAGATCATCGCCTAATCGGGCTCACCGCTCGCGCTTGTCCCGCCGTGACGTCACTTACGAACAAATCGAGGAGAGAAAGCCATCGCCCAACAGACGACCTCAAAAGTCTCGGTCAAGCAGGACACGGCAGCGCGAACTTTCCGTTGAAATGAGTCGCGATCTCAAGAGACGCGACAAGCAATCGAGTGACGGTAGTCTGAGCCGCTCATCGGACCTGCACGATTCCTTAGAAGGAAGCTGGGAGGCTAGGGACACAGACCGAAGAATAAAAAATGGCAAAACAGTAAAACAAAGTCGGACAAATGAGCAGGACAGTGCTGGAGAAAGTCAGTGCAGTTCATGGAGTAGCGATGAGTACTACAATGTTTACTACTCGAAGCTCCGCAAGCGAGACACTAAGACTGAAAGCAGAGCAACGTCTCCTCGCCGCGGTAGCAGGACTTTCCAGAAACCTATTGTTCCGAGTTCTCGTCGTTCGTCGCCTAAGAAAGAGCGAGACATCTCGCCTCCTCGGCAGCGAGTCAAATCCCCAACGCGGCTCAAGTCTCCGGTGCGACGCATTGAGGGGAAAAGAAGAGAGAATCGGCCGTGTACAGTCGATAGACCTGGACTGGCTCTCACCGCTGAACTCCTCCTGGATCAAAAACAGAAGCTTCGGCCTGTTCGACCTTCTGCACTTCCTGATATATCAGGCTTACCGGAAAAGTCTCTGCAAGACTTGACGGTACTCCTGAGGAGAGTCATGAACCGAAGACGGGATGCGTTTCCTCCTTCCATGCACTCTGACGATCAATTCTCCGACTGGCAATGAAAAGCTACCCCATCCTGATGTTAATCAGGATCAAGGCATCCGTACAGTGAAACACGTCATTCGGTCTAACGATTTTTCGACCATAAATAATATGAAACTAATTTACCGGAATCTGTAAATGCACATGCCTAGCAAAATTCGAATTTTTCAGCTAATAATTTTAACTTTTGCCCGGAAATTACCCTAGCTGTCGGCTACGGAACAGGTAAGGAATACTGAAGACAAATTACTATTGAATTCCTTCACCTGTTGTTCATATTAAGAATTTCTTGCATCAAGTGGACAGGTTAAACACGACATATTCTTGATTTAATTTATTTTATAAAATAAATATTTATATAATTTATGTAGATGCTGTATTCCCACGTATGTTGTACTGAACATTTTGAGTGGATCGGTCATAAGGTGAAGCACGAGTATATAGAGGAACACCGGAGATTATTTAACGAATCTAATAGTACTAAAAATATATTTCCCGGTTATGTAGGGACACTTCCTCTAAACAACAATGACGTTTCACATTATTTGTACACTTCAGAGTTTTAATGAATTCTAATAAGGTGGGCGCACAGCATGAGGGTCTGGCTAGCAGCTACCAATGACTACTTTGTTTTGGGCCAATTTGCTAAAGGATGGCGTTAAAACATTATTTTGTCAGATTTTACTTACAGCTACGCATTTCGCTCAAACTCACTTCGCGTAGTCATTTACTATATTTTAGCTGACAGAAAACCGCGCGTTTGATCCAACGAATATCAATCGTTTTTTATTAACGTTTCGGTAGCCAAGTTTCAAAAACCTGTAAATTGTTATTGATGAACAATTTTTTTAACTACATTCTGCCCAGCTCGTTTCCGGATTCTATTGCTAGCTAAACAAGTTTTGTATTTGATCATTCCAAACAATGTTTCTCCAGCTGTCATTCCGTTATCCTTGAATTGCAATGAGTAATAACATGGTATGAAGAATGGTGGCACGAGTTGATAAACACGTCGTCTTGTCCTTGTTAGTATTGCCATTTATGATTAAAGACTATTTTAATTGTTTAAATGAACGATATAGGAATTGCACACGATGCAAATAATTTCATACCAAGGCAACCAGTTTGGTAGGAAAAAGTGATTTAATAGCGCCTCGACTCTCGAGCAATCTTGCAACATTACTCCCAAAATAAGCCTTATTAAAACAGGGTAGGTGTACAACGACCAGCGCGCTGAAGCTGGCAGCGTTGACATCTCACAGAAAAGTAACTATTATTTGCGATAATTAAAAAAAAAAACCGCTTACACGTAACGTCAGCCCAGGAAGAATGAATAAAAATGAGTGAAAATCCCGCTCGTTAGACCCAATTAACTGCCTCACCAACACGAGCTCGAAGACGGTGCACAACAAAACGCGATGTCCTTATAAAATTCTGATCGTAGAGACGTCAGACAAAATAAAAATAAATGAATTGATCAAGTTATTGATGGTGTCGTAAAATAATAATTCTTGGCGTGTTAATAAAATGGAAATCAAGTAAAATTTAAACAAGGGAAAATAAAAAAATTCTTTTTTTTTTGAATATATAAATAAAGCATAGTTAATGTAGAAAAATAGCTCGCTTACAATGAAGCTTTCAAGGCCGAAATAGTTAAAATTTGCCCCTATTATACACCGCTAAACCTCACTAAATAATAAATTGAATAGGAAACAATGATAGTCAGGTCTGCTTCTGTTCCTTTGAGCAAAATTCAACTACGGCGAAAATGTTAACTACTGAAAAGCAAAAGCATCAACTATGTAGTAACGTCTAAAAGAATTTTCTTCCCTTCATAGAAACCTATTAATAGGGTAACATAAAATCTTAAACACAATGTTTTACGGGCAATAAACAAAAAAACGAGAATTGAAATGAAGGTCGTAAATAATGCCCCACCATAACAGGATCGCATCGAACCAATCCACTAAACCAACATCAAAAGTTTCGTAGTCGCGTCACTGACGCTCATTGGGGTAAACAATTTTAATTTTCAAACGTTGCTCAACCATGGTTAATAATTTAGGCAGGCTAGAACGAAACTTATAGAGCTTCATGAATAATCACGAAATTTAAATCTCACATGTACAACCGATCAAACAAAAAGCTCATCTACTAGACGAGGCTGCAAACGAGCGATGCAAGTAATGGTTCTAGGCCAAAAGAATGCCACATTTTCGTGATCTAGACAATGCACTGGTCAAAGCCAATGCTAGTCACGAACCCAAAGGAAACTCCAAATCAATATGATCAATTTATACATTAGCGAAACCTTCGTGATATCCAACACTCTTTGTTGTAGTTTAATGTTTGATCCGAATAGGCTAAAATCGCAGAGCTTGAATCAATAGCGTACAGAAGAATTAAAGAATCATCGGCTAGTAATAATAGATGCAAGTCTAAAATATACTTACACAATGTTCAACTCTATTAATCGCCAAGAACCTTAGAATAGCCGAGGAGTTACTGGAAAGAGATGCAGCAAAGTAGGTGCACTCGAAATAAAGCGAAAAATATTCTCGCGGTTCTAGCTGAAAATGTACAACAAAACACACAAAGTAAAATTATATGATACAAAGACTAATATTAAAGAAGAGTAAGAGATAGTTGAACGAACAACGAATTTGAAGGAAAGATTGGCCATACTTATACGAGACTAAAGAATGAAGTTATTGCATGTAATGTTAATAATTCTGTCATTTTAAGTTTAATGTAAAAAATTGAGATGTATCGTTGGTAGGAACATCGTCCCATGTTCAATAACTGCAACATAAAAAAAAAATTGTGTAGCTTAACACAGTTTTGAAATTATAAGCACTAAGCGGTTTTTTGTTTACACATTCGGTTGGTCTGACAGGAAATTGTACAACAGTGTATTTTTTGTTAGAGCTGAGCTGAAATCATTCGAGGCAATTATGACGTTTATATTTCTGGCAATTTTGCTTTTGATAACGAGTACACACAGCAATAAATTTGAAAAAATACAAGATTAGCCGGCAAAACTACGCAAAAGGACGAATGCCTTTTCTAGTGAACCGAGTGCTGAAAATTCATTGGTGAAAACTGAGGATGAAATCTAAATGGACAGTAACATAGGCAGAGAATTGGAACTCGATTCCAAACCATCACAGTTTGAAGCAAGATTCGAGAAAAAAAATCATATTTACAATCATAAAGAAACATACTATATCATTTGAAATCAAATAACAATCGAACTACGAAAAAATACGCTGTACATAACTAAAAGATATTGTCCGCAAGACCGTGGAACGCATTGAATTGAAACCAGTTGGTTTCCATAGAATTCAACAATATTTTTCAGGTGTTCATGAAATTGATAATCAGCAATCTATTTCAAGAGCTCAGGTCACCCCTCCGCGACCGAATGTTGCTTTTTCGTTACCTACATTTTATTTAACTAATTATGATATTACATTATAAGTTCAAGTAGAAATACTACCCGCAGTTCAATGAGAAATACTACATGGAACGACCATTCGATCAAATTATGAGCTTCAGAACTGCTGCTTGGACGGTTAATTATACGAGAATAACACGAAACATCGGTCAAGTGGAGCCGCTTATCTTCCGAAATAAATAAGAAAACATTAAATAAGCTCCAATCCTGGAACCAATAAACGGAAAATCAATAATGATAGAAATTGCTTTCACATTAAAACATTTTTCAGAGCAGGCAGAGTGTCACTGAAACCACCATCGAGAAAATCCTCAACACCACAATAATGAAGTTGCTCAAGTTTTTTTGTATTTATTCCAAAAATACGCCATTTTGTTAAACTGACGTACAGACAAGAGGACACTTGAAATGCCATTCGGTTTTTTAATGGTACGTCATTCTGTTTCAATTTTGAGGCTATTGAAAATACTTGATATGCTTAAAATAGAGAAAAAAAAGAGTGCAATCTTCAAGCTAACATCATTAACGGGCAAAAAATTAAACTTGATATCGACAATCGTCTTCTAACTTGGAAGAACTTAATCGGGAAAATAATTTTCCTAAATAATTTAAATAAATACACAAAATAGATAAGAATTTTTTAAAAGAACCTACTTTTTGAGGCTTTAATTCACAAAAATTTTAAAAGCAAGTCCTAACATAAAAAAAAAACTTTCGAGAAAACGTTGAGATAAATTAGCTCTGTCAATTCTTCAAAGATGTACTCAATATTCACAAATATAGTAAAATCCACTTCGTAAAAGAAGTGTTATGACGGATCACCCCGTTACTTATCTATCAAGCCTTAACATAAAGTGTCCACGCGTGCACTGCGCCAAGTTTGGTACTTCTTGGATTTATGGAATACAAGAGGCTGAGTGAAATAAGAAAAGAACTAAACCTTATTTACAACTTCAATTTTTTTTCAATCGAAAGCAAGACAAGGAAAATGTCACAATGAAATTGCACCTGTCAGAGCTAGTAAACTTTAAGCATGAACATTAGCAAACCCCTTGGTTTAAATAAAATAAAGATTAGCGTTGGTTCAGCTTATTTGTTGTAGGTCTTATAACCACAGAAATCATAAAGAGAATTAATCTACATACAAAATCAAGAAAAGAGGCAATCAAAGTCGGTGAACATGGCAAATAAATAGTCTAAAAGATTGGACCGAGCGATAGGCATTAATAATTCAAGTCAATTTCAATATATCGGTCAACAGGATAGAAGCATCAGAATGTGTAATACTTTCTTATTTGTATAACACTGATTCAATCAAATGCAATTTTATTCTTGGTTATAGCACTTAAATAAAACCAATATTATTGCCGAGAAGGCTGAGTGCAACGTATTCTCACAAATTCATGAGATCAACAACTAGACAGTCCCGAAAAAAAAAAAATGATCAACTTGTTTCAAAATGTCATGATGGATGATCATCAAAGAGCATCAACATCATACATAGTTAGTTCATTGCTACCCAAACTATGAAGAAAGGAGTATGCAGTTTAAATGTGATCAAATTCACGATTAGTGTCTCTGGAAATATACCGAAAATTTGGCTTCTTTTCAAACACCAACATCAAAGCTCCACAACACAGAGCATTGTAGCTGGGCGAGGTCAGGGAGAGGATGAGTGAATAAAACAGGAACAGAAATACGATAAGCTTAAGTTTCTATCATTCGAAAAAACTTGATATCGGCAGGGGAGAACATGGCTCACATTATCGAATTTAGTTTAGCTTGCGAAAGTAAGCTAAATAATTGAAGTCGAGAAAAAAAAATGCTAACGATGGGCAAGTATACTATTGAAATATTGGCGCAGCATGACTGCAATATAATGTAAGGCATCATCTATGATAACGTGAACCTCTTTGCATCATAACTCAAAATAAAGTGAGGACATTGTTCTCTCATTCATTTCAAGATAAAACCGCGGTCACTTAACAATGACAAATACAGTGATGAAACTCTAATATTCATTTGATAATCGGAAAGTATAAATAACTCATGACGCATTTGAATATGCGGCAAGGAATAAAGAGGCATGCGAAACGAACATGACTCACAACGATACAATCTGATGCTATAAATACAAAATTATTAATTGGTAGAATGTGAAAATTAATCAGCCTACAGAAGCAGCATTTAAGCCATACAACTCATAGAGGCACGACGACAGGCTTTTGCATGAGAGGAGCGTGGGACTCGAGGAAGCGTCGGCTCAGAGTTTCGAAGTTCGGAGAAATCCACTGCTTCTGCAACATGTTGCACTCGTTCTCCAGGCTTAGTTCCAGCCGCGTCTGCAGCTGATGGTTCATCAGCGCCTTCGTAGTCTCCATGCTCTGCAAAAAATATGCATGTTAACCTCGTAACATTACAAGAATTCTTCATTATAATCGATAACAGACAGGTAAAATCGATTTCTGTAAAGATAACACACTAGATTGTAATAATTAATAAACACGGCAAACTGCCCTGTGGAGCCTAGCAAAAAATCGTGAAAAAACTACAACTATACATCGGGAGAAGGAATAACAGGATTATATGGGATCAGGATATGTCAAACAACAGCAGTAATGGCAGCGCAGGGAAGTAAAATAAGAGCCTTCTTTCATTGAAAATATGGCGAGTCTTGAGCTCCCAAGCTGGCGAACAAAGATCCTCAGTTAGCTGTTGGCAGCCTGAAGATACAGACGTACCGCAAGGACATTAATGCGAGAAGAAGATCCTTTCGTCCCTTGAAGCTCCTTTTCGATGAAACTTCAATTTTGTTTAAGCGATGGCAATTAGTGTGTGAAATCACACAATAACGGTCAAGAAAAATAAATTTAAAAAACAAACAAATATATTCAACCAATTTACATTGAGAGCTGAATAATTTTTAGGGCTCGAGTCTCATTAAAATAAAATCTAAACAGAAAATTGTATAATATTGTTCCATAAATGTGCATAAAATAATGATCAAATCGGTACGGTTGAGCCTAATCGTTATTCTGATAGTTCCGGAGTTCAGCTCTGCCACGAGACTACCAGGCTTCGCAAATCACCTCATTCTCTTCAATAAAGGCAATTACATTGCCTACGGTCACGGGGTGAGTCGGACTAGAAACCGCACGTCTGATGCGTCCGCTATCAAAACTCGAAATTAATGCTCGTGCTACGGTTTGCGCATGAAATTCTCGGCGTTTGATGTCTTACAAAAGAAATATGTTTTAATTCTGAGTAAAATAATAATTTGTTCAACAATGTGGTTAGACTACAAGCAAGCATAATATTGCACGTTCTAGTTTTGTTTAATGTTGACGATAACATTGGAATTCATCACAAAAGTTTTTGACGATTTTGGTTCTCATCCTGGAAATGATGCCATAAAAATAAGCTAATAAACTGCATACTAAACAGCGGAGCAGTGAACGTGACCTCCCAGAGTGCAGTTCTTCCGGTCTGGAGGCATGCAACTTACGCCACGATCGCTTCTGGAAGCCGCCCCTGCTTGAGCGTCTCTGTAGGTGTCCGGGACACACGCCGTGTCCTGTCAATCCCCAGCAAACTGACCACAGCAACGCCACGCGAGACCAAATTCTGGTACGTCAATGGCTAGCAAAACTTACAAAATCATTCCAGCAGAGTAATAAATACAGGCCACTTGAAAATTCGTAACGTTTACGGTAGCCACACAATAGAAGGCCGGCAATACATAATTTTATTTTGCGCATTAGTCTGATACACGAGGGAAGACATCAAACCTAGTACAAGCTGTGCTGTTTATAAAACGTTCCAAACTATCGTAATAACAAAAAGACGTGTTTTTCAGGACGGAGAAGAATCAGCTGCAGGACGGGAGCTTTTGGTTCAGCACATCAGCAACAGAGCACAGCTGCATGTAAGACGCTGTCGAGACTTAAGATCAACACAAGAATAGCGCACAGTAACCAAGCAAAACTTGCGCGCCATAGCGAGAACAAATTGACAATCGATTTCAAAAAGTTATATGTACAAATAACTTAATGAAATTATCACTAAATGCTAATGCAGAGAAACAGAATATAATTTATAGTTTGGCGCTCTTGTGCAGTTCTGCAATGTGCCATCGGACACTCGCGACATGCAACAGTGTACTAACCGACAGGTTGGTCTCGAAGTAACGCTCAAAGAACGGTATGCACTACACAATTCGCGATCCAAAGACGAACCAGCATCTCAGAGCTACAAACCCGCCATCATAACGGACTCGTTCACTCATCTGAAATGTCGATGTGAGATGCCGCGGTATTGGAAGCATCGAAACACTCAACTCAAATTGTCCGAACGAGAGAGACGCGATGATCCTCAACGGAGTCGACTTCTAACCCAGATACACAACTATGTTTGTGATACAGTGAGTGGGTAATCGGTATACTACTGATCAACAACATCCGTACTCGTAAAAGCCTTTTCTAGCACTAAAACTGTTGAAACAACCATATTCCGTGGTTTGAGAAATAAAATACGCCTATAGCATTACATGACAGGACAAATTCTGTAACGCGCCTGAATCAATAATGTAAAACGTTTTGCTCTTCTTTGAACGCAAAGAGTAAACAAGAACAGAGCGGTTCAATAGAGGGTAATAATGCAGTATTACGTCGCACAATTGAAAAAAAGCAATTCGGCAACTTAGATCATTTACTGCACATCAATGACCAACTTTATACATAAATATTGTGGTTTTGCATGATATTCTCTGCTTTGCAGTTGCCTGCTTGTGGAACAAACGAGTCCTGCAGCGCTGTGCGGCCCGATACATACGAGAGTTATTTCACGTGTTCCTGCCCAGTGCACCACTTGTGTCTCGTACCTCGTGGTGCTCAAGCTCAACGCACCACCAGCCACACGTACCCCCACCACTACGGTCGCACTCTTGAGGGCGTGTGCACACCGCACTACCCACCACAACCACCAAGAAACTACGGCTAAAAACTTTCACATCTTCATAATAAATAGGTAGTATATGCGTTAGAGTGAAAGAATTTACATAAGAAATGTTATGAGGATTGTTAAACAAGTAGGTACACTCAAATTAGGATTGGAAGCGATTTCACTTGAAAATAAAGAGCTAAAACAAGCAATAAAAATATAATTAATACCCAAAATTCTTAGAACCGAATGCCTGAAAGAGATTCTGTCTTTTCTTATAGCATTAAATTGATATTTTCAGAATGTATTTTGATCCTAAGCATGCTGACACGTCTTAGAAAGGAGGGTGAAAAAATGGAGTGTCCTCGAAGATGGCTGGCATTCAATTTTCAAATAATTCAAATACGTTTCATAGGTTATTGTAATTTTAATACTTCTTACGTCACTTCATAAGTTCATACATCTTTGAGATATCAAACTCCTCAATAATCTTACCTGTGAAGACTGGGTGGCCAGCAAAGCGACTTTGGGCAGCAGCATTTCTTGGAAGTTTGCGGGCCACAGCACCTCAGACACAAGGCCGAAGTTTACGCCCTCACGCGCACTGAACTTGTAGCCCATGAACAAACGGGTTGCCTGAAACAAAAGTTAATAGAGGTCTAAAAACTTGATTTTCTAATGGCTTCACATTATCATACACAACTTATACCTTCACTAAACCATGAACATAAATTACTGATCAACAAATACCAGATACATAATTTCTTTGAAGAACCGTCAGTATGAAAGGAGAAACGGGGAAACAAATTTCTTTAGGAATAAGCGATAAATAATGATGCGAGGATAATTTCCACGGACTAATGAATTGGTTGAATTACATTATAATGCGCATTCCAATGTGCGTTACGTTATAATATACTACAGAGAAATATGATGTTGAAAAAAATCTACGGGTATAAAAACCAGGATTTCAGTGTATATCAGTTTTCAACGAAAAAAAAAAAACAATTGCTCATTCCTTCAATACATTTCTGTTAACGAAGCTACACTAGAAATAGTCAAATAATATCTTATTCAAGTATTTGAAACGATAACTCACATTTGTTGCATTAATTCACTACATCAAACGATAAATAATGCCTTCCACAAAGTTTTCAAGTCTGTTAGTCGGGTAACAAACATGAATAAATAATAGGATACACACACCATATTATATTGCATCCGTAATTACGTGCATCAACGAAAAAAATTTGATTTTTGAAAAGGCCATTACTTGTAGTTTGCCAATAAGAGCAGGGAAGGTGTAAGTAGCGCCTCCTTCAGGCACCTGCCCCAGCTTGGAATAAGGCAAGTAAAACTCGGCGCTGTCGCTGGCATAGACCAGATCGAAGAGCGGTAGCATGGTTACCCCCAGCCCCACTGCGTTGCCGTTAACACCAGCGATGATCGGCTTAGGGAACTGCACCAGCATGCGTAGGAACTCCCTGAGAACGTAAATGCCTTTTAATCAACAGACGAGCCAGGCGTTTTGATAAGTAGACGAAACAGGCGTTTTAATCAGCAGGCGAAACAGGCGTTTCGATGATTCAATGATTACTGCGGATTCATTCTTTAACGGGGTAGAAACAGCCGTTTTTAAGCTACAGCCTGAATTCAACTCAATTAAATGAAAGTAAAAAGGGAATTCCTCTGTTTCATAGTACACCATCTAACCCTGACCGGGTATTTGACGAATAAATAATTCTTAATTTCAAATGTCAATATAATTAGAAAAAATTTAAATTTCAGTTTCTTAATACATGATACGGTATGTATTCGATAATGCCGATCCATGAATCTTACTGTAGCAACGTTGGTTACACCCCACCAATAATAGAAAAATCTACCAGGAAGATACCATAGACGTTTCTTACTAGACGTTACTCTCACTTCTTTGTCCAACGAAGGAGATGCTCCAATAAGTCTCCACATGGCACGAAAAACCTACGACACAATTTTTGAATGAATTCTTCCACACAATTTCTTTAATAATTTTTTCATGTTGCTACATATTTTCACAATTTTCGAGCACACGCACTTGATGGCCCTGGCGAGGTTCTGCGCGTGGTTGTTGCGAGTCTCAGGGTGGGCGTGATGCAGCGAAGTAAGGTCGACGCCCTGACAAAAACTCGAGCCATTCGAGGTGAGCAGCACCAACCGCACGCTCGGGTCACCGCGCAACGAGTTCAGCGCATCACACAGCTCGCGCAGGATCTGCAAATTGCAAGTGCATATCGTGTGATATCAATATTTATTGATATTGTTTAATCTGCAGAAAAAGAATTACAGGACGAACAAGAACATTATGAACAATATCAATAAATATTCATGGGATGCACGAAGAACGTAAAATAAAATAAACCACACACGATCAGTGCAATTGAGTGAAGGACTGATCTATTAGCAACTAACGTACGTATAGCAAACGCTGTCAACTGAATTATTTAATCAATAAATTTCTTGATAAAATTAGAGTTACATAAACCGTGCAAATTGTGAGACCGTGAATGAAAAGTATCTTACTCGTGAATTCATAGCGATTAAAATTAATCGATAAGCAATCTAATGCATCAGAAGCTTACCCTGGAATTGAGAGAATTTTTAATTTTTGTGGTCTGAGGAGCCATGATGATGTGTACGAAGTTGTTCATCTTACGCAGCACCAGGTCTCGGTAGCTGAATGAGGCAGCATCGCCCGTCTGCCTCACCGAACAGCGCTGGCTCTGCCTCAGGCCTCCAGAGATGCCCCCGTCTACCGTCATGAGGCCTCGCATGCCCCGCACCGGGGGCACCATGTCTTCAGGGACGATGTTGGGCACGAAGGCGACACTTGAGGTCGGCACCACGCCACTGGTTTCGTCCATACTCCGCACCAGCGAGTCTAAGCCTAGTTTACGACGTAAGAAATGGTTATTGCATCTAATCTTTGCTCATAAATAAACAGGGGCAAATTGGATTAGTATCAGATTCGTTTCTACCATTTCTGAACTAAAGTTTCAACATTACTGCTTTTTGATGCTGGGCACTAATTGAATGAAATTTGACCGTTTGTCTCGCATAGTATAAGGAAAAACATATAGTATAAGAAAAAAAAACGCATAAATATAAGATAAAAATGAATTGTTATTAGACAAGGACACTCACTGGCCATAGTTGGGCTGGTGGGAAGATCAATCCTCCTGATTTTAACAGGAGACTGATTGCCCTGGCGATGGGCGTTGGCCGAAGACGAAGGAACAGAAATCGCAGCATTGCTGGATACGACGCTGCTAGCATATAAAGATTGAACGTTAGCCTTCAACCCCAAATTCGTGCTACCACCGACGTTACCGTAGTCAATTCGAACTTCATGACCATTAGAAACTTTGTTCTTGGTAACGTTGGATAGTTGCAAACCGTTGGCATCATCTGGCTTCCAAGATGAAGAATCTGGTTTCTTTCGGATAGATATTTCAGACTCAATAACGATATCAGGGGCAGAAGACGGAGAACACGACTTGGACAAAATGGATTTCTGCTTCTGTGGACGACCGGGCTTGCGCTTGGCTATCACGGAACCAGCAGTGTCCACGTATTGCTCATTACCATTGAGAGACACGCGGGTACTCCAATCCTTGCCATGAGTTACGCTAATATCCTCAGCAGCTGCACTACCAAGAAATGGTTCGTCTTGAACCGGAGTGCTTCGTCTCGAGCTGCCCGAGCAACTTGTCATCATGTTGACGGCACCCTCGTCCGAGTACAAACTATCTACCTCGTTACATTTTCTCTTCCTTTTACCGGTGCCGGTTGAAAAGAAGACCTCTAGGTCAGGCTCGGGTGAAATTGCCATGGAATGTTCAGGGGGGCGTTTGGGTCTCAATTTATGAGTGGTGGCGATTTCAGTAGAGGAAGAGAAAGAGCCATCTAATCCTACTTCTTTTGTTTTGATGCTATTGAGCATATTCTGTACACCCTCGTCGTCAAACAGTGCTTTCAAGAAGCGAGGCGGGCGACGAGGCTTCTTCACATCAATCGAGTCAGAATTCTTGCCACTTTCTTTAACCACAGAATTTGCAGTGTCAGTCATTATAGATTTCTCCTTGATTTTACCGGAAGATTCAACAACTTCGGGCTCATTTCTGTTGTTATTATCACAGTCGGATCCAGTTGGAGATTTTGTACGAATTTCTTTATCACTTATATCAACTGGGATATCAGTTGTCATTACTTTGGTTTCAGTATAAGGTTGAGGTGATTTCTTGATACTACTCGACACATCAAGCTTTTCATTAACCGATTGAGTTAACGGCGGACCATTGTGTTCGCCATTTATTAAGGGAGGTGAAGCTCCTGCAGATGGACTGCAACTTGAAGACGGAGAAGTCTTCAATACTGGTGACACTAAAGTCGTGGGAGAAGTATTGTCGTTGGTAGTGCTGGCTTTGAGCACACCTGTGCGGATCAATTTCACTGGAGATAAAGTTCTTTTTCGAGGGGAAGAAGGCTGAGTGCAGCCATCTTCAGGCAAAGTCGAACTATTGCACGTTTGCTCCATCATCGCATGAGTAGTGACTCCATTTGTGAAGGAATGTGATTGAAGTGCTGAAGGCGGACGCGGTGAAGAACCTAACAATGTTGAGCGGGAAACGGGAAAATTGCGATTTTCAGTGGATACTCCATTGGGAGATGTAAGCGACTGAAGGCCAACATGAAGCACTTCATGACCGTTGCTGCCGATCTGATTCACATTAGAAATTTTGGATGGTTCCTCCTCAGAATGTCGAGTCATACTAGCTGCACTTACACAACTAGAGCTCGATGAACTCTGAACACAGGCATCAGTTTTGTTATCAGAATCAGTTTTACACGACTGCGTGTCATTTGATGCCAGACCGCTGGACGACTGATTAATAGATGTTTCGGCACCTTTAACAGGTGTCAAAGGTTTACGCTTCCGACCGGCAACTTGTGGCTTAGGGATTCCAGCCAGCGACTGTTGAGGCTCACCGTTCATTGAGTTGTGAACCTCAGCCACAACAGTCGAAGTTTTCCTGCTCCACTTGGGTGGCGGTGAAATTGAATTTGAATCAAGCTTACGTTTCGAACCTCGAGATCTTCCACGTCTGGAGGCATCGTTAGCTGACTCCGAAGAATCGCCCTCCGAGACGTAAGGTGCTGCTTGTTTCTCTGAGTCTTTCGAAATAGATGTGTCAGGAATGTCGCTAGGGTTATTTTTATTGAGAGACTTCTTGTTTAGGACTTTGGCCATTGTTTTGGTCTTGGAAGAGAGTTCTCCGTTGGAAAACTTCCCGTTAGCCTCAAACTTTTTCGCTGTTTTAACCCCCGCACTTAATTTTACGATGCTTTGGGATGATTTTTTCTTATAAGCCGCAGCACCTTTGTTGGAAAGCACCTTAGCAGTTGCAGCTATCAAGAGACATTTGGAAGGTATTATTGGAGCGATAATAGGAGCTTTTGTACTTCCTAACTCGGTCTCGGACCCCGTGTTTCGGTCACCAAGAAGGGAAGGGCCATCGGGAGTTTCTCCGTCTGGCTTACGGACATCGCGAAGCCCTCGGGTTTTTGCTTTCATGAAGAAGTTGCTGAAAGGAGCTAAAACTTTCTTCGGCGCATTGTTGCCATTTGCTGTGGTGCTTTTCATGACTTTCTTCTTTTGGACTTTCGATGTGCCAGGCACTTCTTTGCCGTTCGGCAACGCAACACGATTAGGTTTTTTAGCAGGTCGTCCAATTTTCTTCCTTCCAACAGGCAATGAAACAGCCGTGGCAGATTTGGTTTTTTTCTTCTTAGGTACAATTTCTGAAATTTCGACGACATTTGAGTCGGTGTTGATTAGCTTTGCAGAGTCGACAACGGTTTCTTTTGTTGTGTCTTGTAAGAATTGCTGTTTCATCGTCTGCAAAACATTTGAAGGCTCAACAGAACCCACGAGGGGTTCAGAAACTTCGATTTTCATGGTGCTTGAATCTGTATAGTCTGGTGGAAACTTGAGCGGAGTGATGTTGTTATTGTCATGAGGAGTTGACTCATGAAACGAGAGCGGATCATCTGTTTTGCTAGGAGAAGAATTTGAAGATTTGATTGGTGAAACAGAGCCGCTCGAAACGTCGATATTTTCTTTCTTATGCTTTGCTACGCTACCGCCCGATCGTCGTTTGCGGCTTGAATTAGAGCCCGTGGAAGCTCCAGATATGCTTCCAGGAGACCCTTGCTCTTCTTGACGTCTGCGGTGCTCGATCCAGCGAGTCTTGCGTCCGTCAACCCTGTTCTGATCTCTTAATTGGATGGCGAGGTCGAGTTCTTTAAGTTGAATCAAGACGGTCGGATCAAGAACCCTTTCTTGTTCCGATGGAGACGTTGAAATCGGACCAGGATTAGTGGAGGTAGAAGATGAGGGAGAAGAGGCAGCGGCGTCTGTAAGTGAGGGAGACGTGGGAGTGGCTGTGGGTGACACCATCATTGAGTGAGAGGATGAGGAGTTGCATGAGCCTAACGAAGGGCTCGTTGATATTACCGAGGATGCTGGTGTGGCAACGATGTTTTCGGCAAGCGGAACTAAGAGCTTTGCATCTAGGAGGCTAGACGAGGAGTCTAGTCCGCAGGTAGCTGTAGCTGCCATCACATCAGATATACAGCGTACCGCGCACACTTACTAACACATATGTTCCTGCGTCCTAAACAGGGCTAAGGTACTTCCTACTGCACAACCACCTGCAAACGATAACCGCAAATTAAAAACTAAAAAAAAACAAAGCAAACAAAATTATTAAAAGGCAAATCAAAGGAGTGTCAAAGCATAACGAGCAGTCAATCCGTCATTAAGAATTTCTGTTCCAGTGCCAGACTTCTCCATCTCAAGTAAAACCTAGAACCTTGCGGGGCGTGGAGACTAAATTACTAATTAGTAATTAATAGCGCGGAGACAGTAGTTACTAAATCCTAATGACGCCTGAACTGAATGCTCAAAAATCAACCAAGTTCCAACAAAGTCAGCTTATGTATTGGAGGCAGCTTATGTCTCATTCTGGTTTGAGGCACGATTTTTCTCAGAAGGATATCGTTATCACACAATCGTTACGCAGGCGATATAATGAGAAATTTTGGAACATTTTACACTCGACACACCACGTACGCATTGATGTTCTAAGAAATTTAAATTCAATGCCGTTTTCAGGGCTAGATATTTTTAGCGTGAATAAGAATTTTAAAAACTTTGCGAATGATGGTAAACTAATGATGGAACGTTATAAGTGAAATCACGCTATTCCGTACAAATTTTTGTCTATACCTAAATAAAGCTTGAAAATTCAAGCAATGCAGTAATACAATGAAACGCATTTAAATACAGCTAATAGTGACAGCGTAGGTTCAGCTGTTACTTCATGAGAAGACTTATCGCATTTGTTATCACTTCTTCCGATAAACACAACTTCACGCGATTATGTACCCGTGAAATGGAACTTCCTACATCAATGAAATCCTATACATAAAAAAGTATAATTAGATCTGTTATAGTTTTGTCGAAACGTAAAACATTTCAATGATAGGTATGTGATTGAATACCTTAGATACCTGGAATTAAGCAGGCTAATTCATACAAAATATGTCACTGAAATAGTCAGCATAGAATACAACTCCTCTGGAACTGATCATATAGTTTCAATAATACTTCCAGAGAACAGCGCCCTACCAGTGTTCTTACTAGATTGGACGAATGATATTTGTTTTCTGAAAAAAAAAAAAGAATGGTAATGCGCCACCTTGGTCAAGTTATTTCAAGCAAATCATTGAATGACATTTCGTCACGTGCGCAAAGTAGCTCGGCATTAGCGAATAAACAAATTGTTTCTACATTCAACGACATTTGTGTAGATACTTGGTTTCCGGATACGCCTTTTTTAAAAATTTCTTATCGACTTTAGATACGTGTCAAATGGACAGTCTCTATTTATGCTTTGACACTCAGAACACATAAAAACAATACATTACAGTGAAAGCAGACTAATTGGATAAGTGGTAATTCAATCAAGAAGTGAACAATTGTCAACATTCTAACGAAAAAAAAAGTGGACATGTGAAGATCGGTGCTGAAATGACTAGTTGTAAACAATCATGCGGGAGGGAGTTGAAGTTCATTGGTTAGTCACATGATCCATGGACTCGAGAAAAATAATAGTTAAGTATTTGAATTGAACATAAGACTACAGGAGATGCACTGTAGCATATCGTAAAACGTAGTGAACCGCAAGTTAATCCATAAATTAAAAAAAATCAATTGTTAAATTGAATCATTCACCATGAAACGCACGGAAATGTAAATTTCCTCTGCATATTACGCATATGTATACACATCATATATAGATGTATATTACGTCAGTGCAATAAAATGGAATATACACTATGGAGTGATAAATACCATTAGTCAGCAAGAATACCCGAAGCTTAATCAACAAAATGCAATTAGGAAAAAAGAACATGCATAATAAAACTAGCGGCAGTGCGAAAAAAAATTGATGAGCATTTAAACTTTAGAAATAACTACATAAATGATGGTTAGGTTAGCATGCAAACATTGGCATCTGATCTAATATATATAACGATGGTTGCCTGAATAATTTGAGGTTATTCAGTTTGCAGGTTCATGCAGTATGATTTGTGCAGTAGATATGCTTGGAATTTGTTGTTAGGCTTACGGCAACGAAGATAACATTTTATAAACCAAGAGCATCGACGCTGCCTCAAAGTTGCCACACCAGCAACCCCACGTCATTATAAATTTAAATAGGAGATGAAATAATAACCTGTAAAATTAACCGTTTATCGATGTTAAAAACATTACGAACTGTACACAAGAGATAAAAAATCTTGGTAATTGATAGAATTCGTGATCTGTATATTTTATCAAGATCCGACTTTTATTGAATGTGGATTAACAAGCATTAAGATTCAGGCTTGATACTTTGAAATTGTCGGTAGCTCAGAAAATTGTAAATTGACGGAGATATTTTTTCTCTCCCTGTGTACAGTTCGTCAGAATATCTAATGATAAATAATAATGAATTTGAACACCATCAGAAGAAACCATCTTTCTTCAAGACCTCGTGGTACCAGAAGGGACTTATAATCTTATTTTAAGTTAGAACCAATAGGTTGTCAGCTCATAGTCAGGTTCTTCAGGAAACCAATTGCGTTCGTGATGGCAAGAATAGATGAAGAATAGTTTGGTCCTATTAGCATTCCATAAGCCTAGTCTATAAACATGATGCACCGATTTTCTTCAGTAGAGAAATTTCAAGTTTAAAAATGTACAGTGAACACGTCTGGAACCAAAATTGATAGTAACATGTATATTTAGCCTTTATTCATACCTTAGCAAATAAGAAAAAATTATACTTCAGATGGATTTCATCACAATTTTACACCCCGGAAAAACTTCATTACAATCAATTTGCTTTTGAATAAATCAAAGCAAGATAAAACCCATTCAGGAAACAGAGTTCATCCCTGTAAATATTCAACACTACAATTTCAACAGTTAAGTCACCAATGACAACTTGATTGCAATTGATACCATATATTTCGCACTGCCTTCTACTCTACAGACCACATTTGAGATTCCTTAAATGCCTAAATTAGAATCAAACTAATGCGCAGAGTATAAACCCAAATTATCAGTCACAACAAATGCCACAGAAGGACTAAAATTGCTCATTAATTGAAATCAATGCTTGAAATTCATCCCAACATTCATCATTCATATAATAGAAGCAGATTAAAATAAGGGGATAGGGCAAAAATTAGAACAAGGTTTGAGAGTTATTGACATGATCAAGAAAACCAAGACTGATTGAGAAATTAGCCTAAAATCAACAGAAACAAGCAAAGGGATTGATGAGAATTGAGGACACAGATAAAATGAGACCAACACAACAAAAAACACAAACTTCAACGTTGATGAACAAGGATTAATAACACCAGAGTTAATGACCTGATAATGTGATTAGATTATGGTTATGAGTTAAATTCAAGCAAATTAATTGCATGTTAATAAAATGGCAGGATAATCAAAACATGTCATTACATGACCAAGGATTAATGGACTCAGAGAAACCTAGGGTAATAATTAGTGTTAAATACTTGAATTAGTACTTTAGTAGCATGTAAAATTGTAAACCTGTTGCAGTGTGATGTAAACATATGTTAAAATTTTAAGAAATAATTATCAAAAATTGAGCTACAAGATTAATTCATGTCAACTATTCAATTCAACATCATTATGGAAGCTGTGTGAGCAATTATGCAAGACTACACACAGAAGATTGTTAATGATGAAACAGCTTAGAGTTTTGACAAATATTATTGGCAAGTGCGTAATAGTTGAACTTCATTTATGATTATCATCCATGAAGCACTGAATAATCAAGAATTTAAAAATCCAAATTTAAGAAATTGCCAAAAAGAAGAAAAAGAAATTGCCAAATTAATATACCATATCTTCATAGAAAACTTTTCATATGTCAGGTCTGTGTCTGTCACCAGCTCACTTAGCTTTCGAGCTCATGATGGAGCTGGCCTGCAAAAATTTTTTCAATGACGTTGTGATGAATTCATTTGGTATTTTATTTTCTTTAAAATTCTTTCTACTTGCAACTTAGGCAGACTAATGATAAAAGCAATGAATAATATTGAAGCTAATGACATCTATATTTCAATCCCACTAAGATAATAATGAAGCAATGAGAAAACCATGTTATCAACATCACAAAAATGTGAAATACAAGTCCTTGGTTGATACAAATGGAAAAACTTGGATGAGGTGAACATTTCCCCAAAAAATGAACTGATCAAATTAACAATGAATGAATTACAAAAAATACTTTGCTCTTCCCTGAAAATGATCCAAAGTTGACATAGTAAGATAGATCATAAGCATCATGCAAGGCACCAAATGATGGAGAAAAGCTGGTATGTACAGCAGGGTTGTAGTTCAGAGCAATGGCACAGCTATTTGCATTTAGCACTTCAAACTTACCACAATATCCAATTAATCTGCTTTGAACAGATGTTAAAATATTAAAAGATAACACAGGGTAATAATGAAGCAAACTTACAAAACACTTAACACATCAAGATTAATAATTGACAAAAATCAGATGTAAAGATAAAAATAATGACATTTGACAAATTTTTAGTAGTAAATAAAGAGATGGCTTTGAAATAATTTCTAAAAGGAGAATAAGATGATAAACAAGGAATGATTTGTAAGTATCAGGTAGCAAATTAATGAAGTAGAAATTAATAATATTTGCTTAGAAGAGCTGCTCCCAACTAATTCCTAGACCTCCCATATAGCCCCACTAAATTCCCAATATATTTCATATTTTTCGACTAGCTTGATCTCGATCAAAATTTTAGTTTGTGCTAATATCCGAAATAAAATGTAGCGGATATCTATCCAAAATTAGAAAAAAGGTCAAGTTTTGTGTTCATGGGCATTTGACACCTGACCACAAATATGAAGTCGAGGCTCTACAAATAAATGTATACAGTCCCAATAGTTATGTGATATTAATTGTATCAGAAATCCAATTGATGGTGGTTCAATTAAGTGGCAGTAAAAAATTAGGAAGGAGCTTTGTTTTGAAATTTTTGTTGAGATGTAGAACATTTAGTTGGATTTGAACATAAAAATTAAAGTCTCCTAAAATTCTTGAAATGGAGTTGATTGGGAATTTTATATCAAAGGGGGATTTGAAATGGTCATCCTTTAATCGATATTTCATTTGGTAGAACATTAGTTCAGGGTGGGATAATGGGAGCAGGGCTTGGGTATGATTCCAATT